ATGTAAAACTTTCAAATTAGATTCTTCAGGAATACGGTTAAATTTACGATTTTTGTTGAACAATTTGTTTTTTCAAACGAAGTGTTTTTTTTAAAACGAAGTGTTTTTTTTAAAACAAATTGTTTTTTCAAACGAAGTGTTTTTTTCAAACAAAAAAGAAAAAAAAACAAAATGTAATATCGACAACGAAATGTCTGCTATATTTTTTTCAAGTTTTAGTAATGACAAGATTTGGCAAAAAAATATTTAATGCTTCTCAATTTTTATTAGATTTAATTTTAACTCTGTACGTTAGAAAATTTATTCGTCGATGAAGCTCGCAATTTTTATGATCAACGATGGAAAGAAAAAAAAATATTTCCCTACCAAATAAAATTTTTTGTTCACAAATATTATTTGGAAGGAAAAATACTTTTTTGAAAATAATAATTTACAAAAGAAATATTTGTGAACAAAAAATTTTATTTGGTATAGGAAAAATATTTTCTTTTCCAAAAACTAATTACGTAATATTTTCCATACAAAAATTTAAAAAAAAATTGCTTAGAAAAATATTTTTCTTCTGGAAATTGTTGAGACTACAAAATTTTGTGAACTTCACCAGCGTAAATTTATATTAATATTTTTTTCCAAAACAAAAAATTGTAAAAATTTAACAACGAGATTATAAATTGTGCAAAAGAAAAAAGTGTCTCGCGAAAGATTGTTGCCATATCTTGTCATCTGAAGCATGACTTTTTGCCTGGTTGTTAGAGGATTAAATGCGGAAACGTACTAAATTTCCAAGAAAGTTCAAATCACCAACATCCGGACACATGTTCCAATTTCTGCGAATATCTTTTGTTGAGCTACTAATAATTACGTAGTACAATTCGAGTCGACCACTGCGTTTCCGCAAATCCTATAAAGAAAACAGACGCGAAAAAAAACTCGAAAGAAAACAGATAATTGAACAAAAAGGTAAAAAAAATCGTATAGCGAGCGACCCAAGACTGAGCCCTTATTAGTCTGAAATTTTTTTTTTCTTTTCCTTTTTAGAATTACGGTAAAATATTTTATGAGAATTTTTATTTTCTATCCTCGAAATATCGATATTCATTGACAATTTTTTTTTTTCATTTATAAGAGAAGAAAAAAAAGAAAAAATTTGTTTTTCTTTTCACTGAAAAAAAATTTGATTCGAATTAACTTGTCAATTATCAAATTAATATTCACTTGTAGAAAATAATTTTTATTTGAGTCAATATTTAACTCACAGAAAATTTATTTTATACAAGTGAATATTTCAGATTTTCTTCAAATACTGAAATTATTGGTTCAAATAGAATTTAATTGAACTAAAATAAAAATTTGAATCATGTAAATTTTTTTTCAGTGTACTTAGTTTACAATATTGTGAATTAAAAAAGTTAGATACAATTGAAGTATTGCAATAAATTATTTGAAAGTTATTTCATCTACACACCAGGCAAAAGGCACTGACACGTTGATAAAAATGTTTTTCGAGAATAAAATAATACAATCGAATAAATAAAATACAAATGCAAATTAAAATTAAATGAAAATTAAAAGTGAAATGAAATAAAAATTAAAAGACAAATGAAAAAAAAATGAAAATAAAAAACAAATATGGAAAAAGAGTGTAAAAATATTGATGAAGAAATTTTCCATTGTTTTGTGGAAATTTTCGAAAAACATTTTTTATGATGAAAATGATCCTAAATAGTAACTGGGATCTGAAATTTAAATTAGAGATATATTTATATGGATACATTATTGTACGTGACTGATTACTTGCAGTGCGAGACAAACTTGCAATCACATATCGAGGACTGATATTTAAGCGATTTATTGTATATTTCGATGAGTAAATTGTAAGATATAATTTTTTTTGTTCATAATACGTTCATATTTATTGTAATTAAGTTTTAGCGTTTCGTTTTAAATGTTACTAGCTAATAAGTCTAATTTTTAGTTTACAATTTTTTTTTTTTTTTTTTTTTGAAAGTACAGGAGTTTATTGATTATTATCAGCAGGAGCGTGTTTTTAAACAAAGAAAAATTAGAATTGTTTCTTCTATTTTTACTATAAAATTTTATTTGTAAACAGGGACCGATTCCAAAGCGAAGTTTAAATTAATAATTTCAATTGTTACGTCAAATTAATTTTTGATTAACTTTAATTTATTTACCTCCAATATTTTTAACAATCGTTGGATAAATAATTCAGTTTTTAATTGTTAAATTTATGTTTTCAATTTTGATTGCAATTTTTAATTGTGTTTTTAATAAGTTAAATATTTTTTCTATTTGAACGTTCAAAACTTAATTTGTTAATTTAATTTCGATTCGACACGAAATTAAACTCATTATTTTCGAAACTAAACTCTGTTAATTTTTTAGTAAATTTTAATTTTTAGTAAAAAAACAAAATTTTTTTCGTGACGGTCCCTGATTGTAAACATAGTTTTAAAATTAATTCACACTGACAAATTTTGTAGAATAATTTCTAAATTTTAATTCTTTAATTTTTTAATTTTTAATTATTTTTTAATTATTTTTCTGATTTTAATTGTTTACAATTTAGGGAAAATTCTACTCTGGGGTTGTAAAGATTCTTAATCAAAATTTCGTTAATTTGTCTAATTGTAAGTTACGTTTGTTCTCCTGTTTTTTTTTTTTTATTTTTTTTCAATATATTTTAGAAAAAAAAAACTGGTCACGGTTACCCGAGTGGCATTGGCAGGTCTTTCAATATTTGTAAATATTAACATCACAGTATAATATTAATTTATGGAAAAAAAGAAGACGGAAGGAAGAAAATGGAAAGAAAGACACTTCAAGACCTGGCTAAATGTCGTATTATTTATTCCTAATTTTTAAAGTCCTGCATACCATGTCTTCCAAGACAGAGACTATTGAATATATTGTACATCTAATTTTTAAGTTTTAAATTATTATTTCTTCTTACGTCCGTTCGTAAAGAAAGTGAAACAGAAAGAGATTGTTGTAAAAAAAAAGAAAAATAATTCCTGTTTAGTTTCCTTCTCTTCTGATTCACCTGATTCATATTTAGAATCAATTAACAAATATTTATAAATAACTATAATATAGTTTTGTCAAAATCGAAATTTTAGTTGTTAAAATCTGTATTTAAAATTAGAATTTTAGTTATTCATATTTTTTTTTCTTTTTGGAAAATGTTTCAAGAGAATTTATCGATAATGACATAAATTGTTGATTTTTAATAAAGGCGATGTTTCATCAATTCGATATTTTCGAAGAGAATAAAAAAAAACGAAAATTTCTACACATTTTTAATTAAATAAATTGAAATAAAATTCGTTATTATTGCGAAGAGAATAAAAAAAATAAGAGTAAAAATGAAAATTGAAACGAAAATTTCTAGATATAATTTTTAATTAATTGAAATTGAATAATTTGCAAAAAATAAAATTCGATAACTAAAGTTCAAAAATTGGAAAATGAGAGGAAAATTTCTACACGTAATTATTTTTAATTTAATACTTAAAATTGAATAATTTTGGGAAAAATAAAATTCGACATTGAAGAGAATAAAAATGAAAATTAAAGTAAAATTGAAAATTTGATTCGATTACTGAATTTCGCCAGTAATTTTGATTTGAATATTATAATTTTCTTGTAGATAAGAAAATTCGTGAATTTAAGGTGTTTATGTATATTACAGTAAATTCATAACGAAAGAATTTTTTAAACAGTCATTATAAGTATATCTTTGTGCAGAAACGTCCATTGTCCTGTAATTAGTATGCCGCTGAGTATTAAAACTAGTCATTAAGCCAAAAGTTTGTTACTTTCACAAAAGTTTTCGTTTTTTTCAGTTTTTTAATAAAGGGAAAAATTACGAATATTGTGTCTTTTATTTACCTGACAATTATTTAATTAAATCTCCAGGCAATTATTTTTTTTAATGAATTTACAATTTATTTTATTTTCTACCTTTATTTTTTTGTTTCCTAACTTTTTAAACAATTTTTCTTTCTTAATGTTTTCAATTTTAAAATTAATCTATTGAAAATCATTCAATTTTTGCAATGAATTTTTTCAAAAAAATTTGAAAATTATTGAATTGTTTTAAAGAATTTTATTAACATTTTAAAAAATAATAATTCAAACTAATTAATTATAGGGAAAAAATGTATTATAAAAGTTTTATTATATTCAAAATAATCAAATTAATCTGAAAAATTGGTTATTTAGAAAAATAATTGAAAATAATAATCCAGGAATTTTGTTAAAATTTTATTGGAAAATAGTTGAATTCTAGAAATTTTATTAAAATTGTATTTGAAAATAATTGAATTTCTTGAGAAGAATTTTATTATTTAATAAAAATAATTGAATCCTTTCCAGAAATTTTATTGAAAATAATTGAATTCGTTGAGAAGAATTTTATTATTTAAAAAAAATTATTGAATTTTTTCGAGAAATTTTATTAAAATTTATTAAAATTTAAAAATTAAAGTTTATATTTGGAAATAAAAATTTTTTAAATTTACATAATAATAAATTGAATTTTAACGCGCGTAACATTTGCTAGTCAAATAATAAGTTACGCAATTAATTGCTTCTCAATAAAAAGTTCAATTTTTTTTTCTTTTGTAGAATGTAAATTTTTCTGCGAAACAATCTTTTCTTTATTCTTTCATTTTAAATCCATTTTTTCCCGAATAACAAATTTCAGAAAAGAATTAAAATTACGTTTTATAATTCTTTGATAAAAAAAAATAATTTTTTGGCAATAATTTCTTCATATTTAGAATGAATTAACATAAAACTAAAATTGAATTGAATGAAATATATTGAAAATCATTTGAGTGTAAATTGTTTTTTTTTATGTTAATCGAATTGAAAGTATACTAAAGAGAGCGAAATAAAGAGAATTCTTTGTGTTTAGAATATATATCGATCAAATGCAGATTAATTCATTTTAATTTAAACATTTTTGTTGATGTAAACATTTTACAAAATCTTATCTTTTCAGCTTTATATATATATATATATAAATCTTTATCTTGAAAATAATTATTTCAGTTTGAAATTGCACTTTGATGCGATTTATTAGTAATATATCTAATTATCTAAAATGAGTAGATTCATTATTTTTGCAATTTCTATATTTAGTCTCATAAATGTTTTCATCAGTAGCGTTTATTCTCAAGAGAAAAGTCTTGCAGATGGTGAGTCAATTTTTTTCATTTTTATTACATTCAGAATTTTTTTTTTTTTTTGAATTTTGTTAATATTTAAAAAATTTTTAATTTTGCAGAATTTGAAGACTCATACTTTGGGATATTTATTTCGCCGAAAGTTTTCCTGGCGAAGAAAAGAGAAATTGTAATTTACTGGAATCATACAAATTATCAGCAAGGAGACAAAATTGGATTATATAGTGAAAAACCAGGAGATGATGTTGAACCTATTTATATTTTTGAAATTTCTTTTTCAAGTGGAATTAAAAAAACGAAAATAGAAGCTGATTTAATTCCTTCGAGGGATTTGAAATTCGTCAAACAATGCTTGAGTAAATATTATTTTTTATTTCTTGGGAATTTCAATTTTAATATTTGCTTTTTGTTAAAAATGTTTTTTTAAATTAATTTTAGCCTTTTAATGAAGAAATACAATTTATTATATTTATATTATTATTTATATTATAAACTTCATTAATTCCAAGGTATTTGACCTTTAATTACAAAAATTATTTTAAATTAAATTTACTGAATTTTTTTTATTTTAAATTCAATTTTCTTAATTTTTTCTTTATTTCAATTTTAATTTACAAATATTTTCTATTTTAATTAATTTTATTTATTTAATTTTTTATTTATTATATTCAGTTCATTTTATTGAATTAATTTCCATATTTATCTTTTCGATTTAATTTTAATTTCCTTAAGTTTCTTTTCATCATAATTTTAGTTTTCTTTATTCTCTTTTTATTTTCATTTTAATTTACTGATATTTTTTTATTTTTAATTAATTTTCTTATTTTTCTTCTTTAAATTCACTCGTTAATTTTATATTATTTACGTGTATTTATCCTTTTTTTCAGAATATCACGTCGCTTGGTTGAGATCTGGAAAAATCATAAAAGAAAATTGTTTGAAAACTGAACCAACTTGGATGGAAGATATGAAATGTGCTTTGGGAAATCAATCTGTAGGAAATATTTTTATTCCAGGAACACATAATTCTGCTGCTTATGAAACATCGCCTTCATTAATTGAAGATTTTTTCTACAATAAATACGTTATAACTCAGGTGAATTTTATTTTATAAATAATTAGAAACTAAATTTAACTCCGAATCGTCTAAATCTAAAAAAACGTTTCAATTAAAAATTCTTCCACTTTAAATTTTTAATCTCCAAAAATCAACAATAATTTATAGATTTTTAATTTCTTCTTAAATTTTATAATTCTTTTCCAATCACAAATTTTGTTTACAATTTTGATTTTAATTTATATTCTAAATAAAATTACCTACAATGATTATTTATTTTTTGGAGTTTTGACGAACTTTCTTTCTTTCTTTCTTTATTCTTTTGTTTTGACGAACAAAAAATCTTATTAAAAGAATAATAAATTTTTTTAGTAATTTATTTTATAAACAGAATAAAATTTGTCATCAAGGAAATTATTCTTCAACTTAAAATCGCAAATTTCGAAAATAAATATTTATAGATTAGTCGCAAAGAGCTGGTAGAAGCACAGACTTTTTTTTATAATTTTTACTTTAATTTATATTCCAAACAAAATTATACTAAATAAATACAATAAAATTTGTTGTCGGCGACGAAATTGTTGGCCAACTTAAAATTATCGTGAATCTCGAAAATAAATATTTAGATTAGAAGAATACAATCATAGATGCAAATTAAATTTTATTTGCTCTTCTCAACAGGGAAAATGGTTTCGGCGAAAATGTGAGCAATATTTATGAGTGAATCGTCAAATTTTAAAATATAGAAAATTTGAAAAATAGAATATTATAGAAAATAGAAAGTAAAAAATAGAAAAAAAATGGAAAAATAAAAAAATTGTGAAATAGTAAAATTTATCTCTATATGTAAAAAGTTGTAAGGTTTTTTTTTATTTTTCTTTAATTTCAGGACGAAGACGTTCTCGGACAATTAATATACGGAGCTCGATATTTGGATATTCGGGTATGCTACCGACCAAATAGGAAAATTAAATGGTGGGGTTGTCACGAATTGGACACTGTTCCATTGCAGACAATTATTAATGATGTGAAGATTTTTCTCAACAATACCAACGAGATTGTTATCTTTGATGTACAAGAATTTTCTTCAGGTGATTACCTCATATTTTATTATTATTATTATTATTATAACTTAGAAATTATAATAATCGTCGTATTTATTCCACGATTCATCTGCCCACACCTGAAATTAGTCATTTTTTCCATGTGTTTTAATTTTTTTTTGTCATTTCAAATTTAATTATTCTATAATTTTTTCTCATTTTAAAATATTTTTCTTTCAAAGAAAATATCGTTTTCTATTAATTTATTTTTTTCAATTCTAATAAATTTCTTTAAAATATGAAAATTTTTGGTTCAAAAAAATTTGACGTTTACAATTGTTTGAAAATTTTTCCATTAAATATTTTCGGGAATTTAACTTTGAAGGAATTTTAATTATATTTTCGAGAAACATAATTTCTTCAGAATTTCTGAATTAAATTCATTAATGCTTTAGCAATTTTGTTAAATTATTTTTTATATATATATTTTTATTTATATTTTTCCACAAGAACTGAAATTTCTAAAAATTACAATTTCAAAATCTTGTGAAATTTAAATATTTCTAAAAATTAAAATTTCAAATCTTGTGAAATTTAATTATTTCTAAATAATTATTTTTATTATTTAATTATTTTGCAGCTGAATTTTTTCAAAATTCAATTAGTTTCTAGAATTCTTAACTAAATTTCTATTTTACTGCATTTTAAAATTTTTATAATATTTAAATCTTTAAAAAAACTAAAATCAATTGGTTAGTAATTTTGAGAAGACAATTTTTTTTCAAAACAAGGAAATTTCATTTAAAATACGTATACAATTGTTTTCAATTGAAATTGACGATTTTTCGATTATTCGGAAATTTTCCAATTAAAAAGTCAAAAATTGAAGCAATTTCTAAACAATTTGAATCGAAATTTTTCAAAAAACTAAATTCTTCTTCAGAATTTTTAATTTCAATTATTCAAAATTAAAATTTTCAGAAAATTTCAATTTGGAACATTTTTTAAATTTAAGTAGCATTTTATACCAAGAAACTAGTATTTTATATGGTAGAAAGAAATATTTTCTATTTAATATTTAATAGTAATTTAATTTTTAACATTTAAATAATTTAATGGACGTATTATTTTTTGTAGAGTTTGCAGAAGATCCAAGAGCTCATGAGAAATTGATACACTTTTTGAAAAATGAATTCAAAGACTATATAATTCCATATGTGGGCTGGTATCAATCATTAAATGCAATTTGGTCGCAGGAGAAGAAGAAGAACTTAATAATTGGTTACGATGACAGTCGATATATTTTTAAACACTTGTTCCTATGGCCAAGTGTGACCCATCAATGGGGCAACGTTCAATCTGTCGATGATTTATACAAATATTTGCAGAGAATCGAGGAACAAGCTTTAAGGCAAGACAATTCATTAATGTCTAATTTTCATTTTTTTCTAATTTTAAAAACAAAACGAAAATCTGTTTTTTTTTTTAAAGGTCCGTAAAGTCCGTAATTTTATTCAAAAAGGATGAAAAGTTCATAAATTGTACGATATAATTTGGATAATTTTAGAGAAATTACAAATGATTGCAGAAATTTAACTATTTTCAAAAGTAATCAAATTCTTCGCAGAAATTAAATTATGTTCTAAAATTTTTAAAAATTTTATCAAAATTTCAATTATCTTTAGAAATAATTAAATTCTTCTCCGAAATTCAATCATTTTCAAAAATTTTCCTCAATTCAATGATTTTTAATATCTACTATTTTCATAAAATTTTCCAAAAGAATTCAATTATTTAAAAAAAAAATTTAATAAAATTCTATGGAAGCTTTTAATTATTTTCAAGAAATAATAAAAACTTCACAGGAATTTCATTATTTAAAATTTTTTTTTTATAAATTTCTTCGCAATAATTCAATTATTTTCATAAATAATAAAATTCTTCTTAGGGATTATATTATTTTCATAAATAATAAAACACATTGCAGAATTTCAATTATTTTTAATACAATTTTAATCGTATTTCTCGGAAAATGTAATTTTTCTTAAAAATTTTTTATTAAAATTCGTCAAAAGAATTCAATTACTTAAAAATTTGTTGAAGAAATTCTTTATGAGAATTTAATTTTAAGAAACATTCAAAAATTCCATAAATTATTTATTTTTGTATTTTTAACTAACAATTCTGTCGAATTAATTTTTTTTGAGGAACTTAAATTGCGGATTTTTTTTTTGAAATTATTCAAAGTTTTTATTTTCTAAATTATATATTTAATTGAAGAATTTATGAATAATTGAAGTTTTGTGAAATTGAATTGTAAAGAAATGAATTTGATAATTCTTAAAGAACTTTTTCAATAATTATTAAAAATAATGGATTTAGAGAAGAATTTTAGTTAAAAACATGAAAAAAAAATTTAATTTTGGAAAAATTACAAATTATTGCAGAAATTCAATTATTTTAATAAATAATACAATTTTTTACAGGGATTTAATTATTTTCATAAATAATAAAACTCATCGCAGAATTTCAATTTCTTTTAATACAATTTTAATCGAATTTCTCGAAAAATGTAATTATTCTTAAAAATTTTATTAAAATTCGTCATGAGAATTCAATTTTAAGAAATATGCAATTATTCTATAAATTATTATTTATTTTTGTATTTAAATAATTGAATTCTAGTAGAATTTTCTCATAAACATTGATTTAAAAATTGATTTCAGCTAAAATTGTAGATAATAATTGAATATTAAAAGCAATATTGCGTGAATTTTTAAAAATAATTAAATTTTGAAATTAATTTTTTCGAAAAAGTTTAATTGAATTTTTTTAATATTATTTTAAGTTTTTATTTTCTAATTTTTATTTAATTGAAGAATTAACGAATAATTGAAATTTCGTAAAATTGAATATTGTAAAGAAGTGTATTTGAAAATTGTCAAAGAACTGTTTCGAAGATTATTAAAAATAATCGATTTAAAGAAGAATTTTAGTTAAAAATTTTTGATCTGATTTAGTTTCGTGAATAAAACAAAAGTTTCTGATTTGATATCACGATATTTAGTTTTGATTCGGATAAAAAATCGAATTCGTGAAATATCTCACAATTATTAAATGCGATAAAGTATAATTTTATTTCCTTCTTTTGATTCTGATATCGGATTAAATTAAAATTAAAATTAAAGAAAGTTTATTTTTAATTTTATTCCCTATATTTGTAATTTTATTTTATAAGATTTAATTTGAAATTACGAAGTACAATTTTCATTTTTTACGACTTAGTTTGAAATTACGAATATCAAATTATATTAATACCATTATAACACTAATTATCAAATTAAAAAATACTAATTCTAAATTAAAATAGTTAATAAATAAATAAATACAATAATATAATTTATTTAATGAATTTCAATGAACTAGAAAATTATTGAATTATTATTTATTTTTGCAGTTTAACGAGAACAATACCACGATCGGCCATGGCACAAATGACTCCAAATACTAAGTACATCTTTAACAATCTTTTTGGTGGCATTCGACGTATGGCAGAAGTTACTAATCCGAAAATTACTGGCTGGTACAATGGAATGTGGCAACACTCGGCAAATATCGTCTCTGTAGATTTCATCAAGTACTCCGGAATCGTTGACGTTGCACTTAAATGGAATTCAAAAAGATTTAATAATACATGTTTACGGTAGCATTATAATTTTTTTTAGAAAAATAATTTTCCATTGAAATACAAAATATATATTTAAAATATTAAATATATATTTAAAATATGAAAACAAGTTAAATGAAATATATTATTTGAAATATGAAAATAACTTAGTTGAAATTCAAATTGGATTAATCAAAATAATAGAAATCAGGTGGAACAAAAATTTAATTTCTACTAACACAAATGTATGAAGCATTTATAAAAAAAACAAAGAATTCGTCGTATCACTTTGAAAAAATGTATCCATATAGTTTTTTCCAAAAAATTTTAATAACTGAATGGCATTACAATTGCTTGAAAAGTTAATAGATTTAAAATTAGCCAATTTTCAATCAATTTTGTATTTATGAATTTCAAAAATAAAATCTATTTAAATTTAAAACATCATCGTAAATACTTTATTTTTATAAAATTTCCACAGGAATTCAATTCAATTACTTTCGCTAATAATAACATTTTTCATGGAAATTCAATTTTTTTTAGAAAAATTTTAATAAAATTTTACGCAACAACTCTCAGGAATTCAATTATTTTTGAAAATTTGAATAAAATTCTTTGCAACTATTCAATTATTTTGATAAATAATAAAATTTATCGCAGGATTTCAATTATTTTTAATAAAATTTCACAGAAATTGCTCAAAAAAATGTAATTATTCTTAAAAATTTAATTTCAGTTCCTCGAAAAAATCAATTATTTAAAAAATTTTTTTTTAAATTCTTTGTAAGAATTCAATTGTGTCGATAAATTTTCAAAATTATTCCCGATAATTCAAATATTTTGAGGCATTTTAATAAAATTATTTGCAAAATTCAATTATTTTCATAAATAACAATATTCATCAGAAGAATTCAATTATTTTTAAAAGAAATAAATTTCTTCTTGAAAATTTAATTATTTAAAAAATTTGGGGCGGTATCAATTGCCCTCAATTCAACTGTATACAGGAAAACTGCCCACAATAAACTGCATACAAGCAAATTTTAATAATAAAATTATTAAATTTAATTTGAAAGCTGTATAAATCTAAACTGCATACCGTTAAACTGCTCATAGGTAAACTGCACACAAGTCTAATTTTCTATTAAATTTATAAATAATTAATATTAAAAACCTGTATACAGTTAAAGTGTACATTGGTAAACTGCATACAAACTAAATTTAAAAAATTAAATTAAAAATTTATTTATTGTTTAATTGCACACCGTTAAACTGAACATTGCTCAACTGCATACAAAATAAATAAATAAATTAAAAAAATTTAATGTATCGTCAAATTGCACATCGGTAAACTGCATACATATCAACTGTATACAGCTAAGTTCTCTTCTATGAATATATTCGCAACTGTCAACTTCATAGAAGAGAACTTAGCTGTATACAGTTGATATGTATGCAGTTTACCAATGTGCAATTTGACGATACATTAAATTTTTTTAATTTATTTATTTATTTTGTATGCAGTTGAGCAATGTTCAGTTTAACGGTGTGCAATTAAACAATAAATAAATTTTTAATTTAATTTTTTAAATTTAGTTTGTATGCAGTTTACCAATGTACACTTTAACTGTATACAGGTTTTTAATATTAATTATTTATAAATTTAATAGAAAATTAGACTTGTGTGCAGTTTACCTATGTGCAGTTTAACGGTATGCAGTTTAGATTTATACAGTTTTCAAATTAAATTTAATAATTTTATTATTAAAATTTGCTTGTATGCAGTTTTCCAGTATGCAGTTTATTGTGGGCAGTTTTCCTGTATACAGTTGAATTGAGGGCAATTGATACCGCCCCAAAAATTTCTACTAAAATCGTTCGCAAGAATTCAATTATTTTCATAAATAATAAAATGCTTTTTAGGAATTCAATTATTTTCAAAAAAATTTAATAAAATGCCACACAGACATTCAATTATTCTCGAAAATTTTAATAAAATTCCTTATAAAATTTAATTATTTTTAAAAACTTTCCGCAATTCAATGATTTTTAATATCTACTATTTTCATAAATTTTGCAAACAGAATTCAATTATTTAAGAAATTTGTTTTAAAAATTTTCTTAAGAATTCAATAAATTCTTTTCATGAATAATAAAAATTTCTCAGGAATTCAATTGTTTGAATTAGAATTTGCATAAAATTAGTCGAAAGAAATGAATTATTTAAAAATTTGTATAAAATTCTACGCAAGAATTAAATTATTTTTATAAATATTTAAATTCTTTCACGAATAATAAAATTCGTTGCAGGAAATTAAATTTATTAGCAAGATAAGAAGGAAGTAAATGTTTTTGATGAAAATTAGGAAAAAGTCAAGAAAATAAAATATAGAAAATGGAATTTTTGTCAGTTTTCTGAAGTATCTAGAACGTTTTTTTGGTCGTCAAGTTTAATTTTTTGATAGTTACGTTTTTACTACTTTTTTTTAGTTTGAAAGCTACTTTTTGATACTTTTTTAAAATTAATTATTGAGTACGAAGCCTCTATTTTATAATGTAGCAGTAATACAAAAGAAAGAAAATTATGAAAAAAAATCTTTGTTTAGAACATCATCACGTGCAGAATAATTATTTTTTTTACAATATCTTTGTTGATGTATACAATTGACAAAAATCTTATCTTCAGCATATAAAAATCCTTCCCTCGAAAATTTCTTTCATATTGAAATTGCACTTTCAAGTAGTGAAATTATTGTAAGTTTTTTTTAAAATTAGTAAATTCATTATTTTTATATTTACAATATTTAGTCTTGCAAGTATTTTTCTCAATAGTGTTTATTCTCAAGAGAAACCGCTTACAGACGGTATGTATTTTAAATATTCTTAATTTTTTTTTTTCATATTCTATACTATATTCAGAAAACTCTTTAGGAATTTAATGAATATTTTCGAAATAAAATTTTGCAGAATTTGAAGACGTCTACATTGGTGTATTTATTTCCCCAAAATTTTACGCGAATAGAGATCGAGATATTAAGATTCATTGGATTCATAAAAATTTTCAGCCAGGAGACAAAATAGGATTATATAGTGAAAAACCAGGAGATAATGTTAAACCTATTTCTATTTTTAATGTTACTGCGGAAAATGAAATTGGAATAACAGAATTAAAAATTAATTTAATTTCTTGAGTATTTTAATTTATTTGTTAGTTTTACGATGTTATTTATAATTGTTTATTTTTATTTTCAGATTATCATGTCGCTTTGTTGAGATCTGGGAAAATTATAAAAGAAAATTGTTTGAAAACTGAACCATAACTTGGATGTATGATATGAAATGTGCTTTGGGACATAAATCGCTATTAGACATTTTTATTCCAGGAACACATAATTCTGCTGCTTATGATACATCGTCTTCATTAATTGGAGATTTTTTCTACAAAAAATACGTTATGAATCAGGTATAATTTTTTATAAATATATAATTAGGTATTATATTTTTTTAAGTCTATAGAAAATTATATTAATTAAGGACAGTAAAATTTGTTATCCTGCTGAAAAATAGAAAATTAAAAAAAAAAATTGCAAGGAATATTTTATTTTCTTAGGACAAAAACATTCTCGAACAATTAATACACGGAGCACGATATTTAGATATTCGTGTGTGCTGACAACGAAGAAGTAAAATTAAATGGTGGGGATGTCACGCATTCAGCACTATTCCAATGCAAACAATTATTAATGATGTGAAGATGTTTCTCGATAATACCAATGAGATTGTTATCTTTGATGTGCAGGAATTTTCTTCAAGTAATTATATCATATTTCGTTGAATATTATAAACTATATTTATTACTATTTAATTTAAAAATATTTTTAATAATTTATCGTCGATTATTGTTTTTTTAGATTTTAATGGAAATTTAACAATTCATGAGGAATTTATAGAGTTTTTAAAAACTGAATTCAATGACTATGCATTACCGTATGCGGGCTGGAATGTACCATTAAATAAAATTTGGTCGCAGCAGAAGAAGAAGAACTTAATAATTGCTTACGATGACCATCGATTTTTTAATCATTTTTTCTTATGGCCAAGTGTGACTCAACAATGGGGCAACGTTCAATCTCGAAATGATTTATTCTTGTATTTGAGGAAAGTCGAGGATGAAGCTTTAAGGCAAGACGATTTACTGCTAGAATTTTAAAAAATAAAATAAAAGTGCAAATGTAATTTAGTTCTAATTTAAAATCAAAACGAATTTCAATGTGATATTTTTATCAATTCTTTTGATTCTGATTAAATTAAAAAAAGCGAAGTAAAAAAAAATAATATATGTAGTTAATAAATTTTTATGGACTAGAAAATTATTGAATTATTATTTCTTTTTACAGTTCAAGGAAAATCTGTAGATTTCATCGAATCCTCCGGAATAGTTGACGTTGCTCTTAGAATTAATTCATTAAGATTTAAGAATACATGTCAACCTCAACTGTAACATTATTATTTTCTATAGAAAAATAAGCTTTTTTTTTTAAATACGAAATATATATTTAAAATATAAAATATATATTTGAAATATAAAATATATATTCGAAATATAAAAATAAATAAATATAATAATATAGAAATAAGGCGAAACAAAAATTTATTTTCTAATACAAAATTTTTCAAGCAATTATACGGAAAAAGAAATATTTTTCCTATGACAAAAATAATAAAATTTATAAAGAAAATAAATAAAATGTTTTCTTCACGAAATATTAATAAAAAAATTATGCGAAATATTTTTTATACAAAAATTTATATTAAATTTCAATAGAAAAATATTTTTACTACTAAATCGTTGATTAGAAACGTGATGAAGTTTAGTTCATCAACATTTTCATCCATGAATGAGAAATAATATTTTTTCTATTTCTGTGAAAACACTTTTTTTTTCCTCTTGCCTTAAAAGCACTTAAGTCTATTATTTAACCATAATTAAAATAATTTAGTCATAACGTAAAGTCATAACGAAAAGTGCTAATAAATGACTATGGGAAGACTAAATACAACTTCCTCATATTTTGTATATGAAACTTTAAATTATAGTCATTGAAACTTGTGCGCACTTTCTAGATTTCTGGTTTTATGCATATTAAACATTTAGAACAGGTCATTGGATTGAAAATGATATATGTGATGTGGTAATAAGCATTCTTACTTTAATCTATAAATATTTAAATTAATCCACATTCCTCGGAATAAAAAATATTTTTCTTTTTCTCCACGTTGTGTGTGAATTTAAAAGAAAAAAATGTGTTGATTTTATTCAAATTAAAATGATAAAATTTAAAAAATATAGGTAAGTCAAAAAAAAAAAAAAATGTAGAAAAAAAATGATGATTAATTGAAAAATTGTAATTGAAAAACTAGAACAAAAATTTTATCATGAAAAGCTTTAATTTTGCCCGAGACCTACAAATTGCAATTTATGCCCTCGTTACAACCGTATATCAAACATTATGTAAATCGAGTTCAAGCTCATAAAGTGTTGAAAGAGATTTAAACTGATTGATCGTGAGTACTTTTGCACTATCATTTTATATTTTATTTACAACAATATTTCTTTTAAATTCAATTATTATTAAAGTTGATTTTTGCCGAGAAAGTTATAATTTATGCGGTGGAGAACTAAATTTTTTTTGAAATTCTAATTTGAGAATATAATTGAATCTAATTTTTAATTTTTATATTTGTTCTTCAAACTATTTTTTATTATTAAAATATTGTCATCAATTTTTTTGATTTTTTGACACAATGTGATTTCAAAAATGTATTAAAATTTACTTTCGTCTGTCAAACAATTAAAATTATTTGAAAAAATATTCAGTTTAGGGGACAAAAATAAATTGTGAAAATAGAAAAATAAAAAGAAATATTTATTAAAATTAACAATCGCTTGTCCAAAAAATTGAAATTTTGGAAAAAAATTTAATAATATTAGAAATTTACTTTGGAGAACAAATATAAAAATTAAAAGTAAAAAGAAATGTAAAAAAAAATGATTGACATTTGGTTTCGTCTGTAAAAAATGAAAATTGTAGCGTAAATATTTTAATAACAAAAAATTCAGTTTGGAGAACAAATATAAAAATTAAAAATACAAAACAAATGTAAAAATATGTTAAAATTAGATTTCGCCTGCGAAAAATTCAAAATTGTTGGAAATATTTTAATAATAATAGAAATTTACTTTCGAGAACAAATATAAAAATTAAAAATAAAAAGAAATGTAAAAAATTCCTTAAAATTCGGTTTCGTCTGTAAAAAATAAAAATTGTAGCAGAAATATTTTAGTAACAAAAATTTCAGTTTGGAGAACAAATATAAAAATTAAAAATACAAGACAAATATAAAAATATGTTAAAATTAGATTTCATCTCTGAAAAATTCAAAATTGTTGGAAATATTTGAATAATAATAGAAATTCACTTTAAAGAACAAATACAAATATTAAAAATAAAAACAAATATAAAAATTCACTAAAATTAGCTTCCGACTGTCAAAAAATTAAAATTATAGCGAAAATATTTTAATAATAAAAATTTCACAGCTTCGAAAATAAATATAATAAAAATTAAAAATAAAAAGAAATATTTATTAAAATTAATTATCGCTTGTCAAAAAATTAAAATCGTTGAAAAAATTTTAATAATAATAGAAATTCACTGTGGAGAACAAATATAAAAATTAAAAATTAAAAGAAATGTAAAAAATTTATTAAAATTCATTTTCATCTTTAAAAAATCAAAATTATAACTGAAATATTTTAATAATAAAAAATTTTTTTTAAAGACTTTGGAAAACAAATTAAAAATATGAAAATTGAAAAGTAAAAGTTGGAAAAAATTTTTAAAAATGTATTAAAATTAGCTTTTGCCGGTCAAAAAATCAAAATTGTTGCGGAAATATTTAAAAAAAAATTCAGTTTGAAAAACAAATATAAAAATTGTAGCGGAAATATTTTACGATTAGAAAAATTCATTTTGGAGAACAAATTAAAATTAAAAAATATGAAAATTGAAAATAAAAAAGTAAAAGTTAAAACAAATATAAAAAATGTATTAAAATTATCATTCGTCTGTCAAAAAATTAAAATTGTATCAGAAATACAAAAAAATAGCAAAAGGAAATTGATAAAAAAAATTCACTTTGGAGAATAAATAAAAAAATAGAGAAAAAAAATTTTATTAGAAAGTTAATAAACTTTTATTAGAAAGTCATTTCCTATTCTAGCAGGAAATATAATTATTTCCATTAGAAAAAAATTTTTTTACATAATATTAATTAAAAAAAAAAATTGATTAATTATCAAAATGATAATTGCGTGTGAAAATAAAAATGAAGAATTTGCTGTTCAATCCTTTTATTCAAGGAGAAATGATTCAGGGTAACTGAATCTCGAGTTTAAGGACTTATGGGATCAGAAGAAGGAATGTGTTGTGCGACCGGAAGTCTACAAAAGAGCTTATTGCAGATAAATGAGGTCGATGATACGTGACCATTCTAGATGTTAAATCGCTCTCGTCTCGTTGAATAAAGAACGGAGTTTGGGGGAATACGCGTGTGCGCGAATGTTCCATCCGCAATTCAAGTTTCCAGTCTATAAGAAAGAAAGTGAAACTCCTTAACCAATTCCATTACCAATCCGCATTATCATCATTCATCAATATTATTCAAAAAAAAATTAACGAAACAAATTAATTTCAATCAAAAATTAGTTTTCTCTTGAAATTTGTTTTGAAAAATAAATATTTCATCTCAATTAATATTGATTTAACAAAAAAGGAAAAAAATCGATCAAACATTAGTTCTCATTGTGAAAAGTGCAAGTGAATTTGGAAATAATTTTTAGTTTCTACAAAAAAAGATAGAAAACAGTTTAGAAGGAATGTGTAATTTGAAAAAATTCGGAAATAGTTGAAGAAGAAAGCAATTTGTTGTTCATCAGTATAAATTAATTTAATTAATTTCCAAAACAATAGTCAGGTAAGAACTTAAGGAGGAATAATTTTGTGAAAAAGGGAAAAGAAATTCGAAATTTTAGCGACTAGAGTTAGTAAAAATATTGGAAAAATAACTTTTTATATTAATAAAGGGGAAAAGAGTTATTTTAATTTTTTTTTGTTCTTTTTTTGCAATAAAAAAATAAAATATAGAGCATTGTTGTTTTTTTTGCAACTTGTCACATGACGCGAAGTCATGAGCAATCTAGGTCGATATTTTTTGTACCCACATTTTTTTTAATAGCATTTTCGAAAATTTAAAAATTATTCTTATTTTTTTACTAATATTATTATTATTATTATTATTATTATTATTATTATTATTATTATTATTATTATTATTATTATTATTATTAAAAATAAAAATGGTTTCAAGTTATTCGCTGAAGTTCACAAAATGATAATAACAAAAATAATTTTCAAATACAAGTTTTTGTAACAGGTTTTTTTTAACTTTGTAAAAATTTAATTATTAATTAATTAATGTACCATACCAATAATTCAAAAAGACAAAATAAATTTGTAATAGAATTGCTTTTGTAAAAAATATTAAATTCCAAAGTTTGATGTTTGCGTTTGAAAGAATAATTTTTGTATAAATTCGTGAAAGTACAATAAATCGACAAAAATTGTGAATTTGGAAAATTATAAATTATAAAATCATAAATTACAAAATTACAAAATTATAAAATTATAAATTATGCAAATTATAAATCAGAAAATCAGAAAACTACAAATCACAAAATTATAAATTAAAAAAACTGTAATTTTTCTAGGGAACAGAAAAAATTCCATTACTCATGGAAGAAAAGAGGATTTTTAAGAATTGTAAAATATTTGTATTTTAGAAGAAAAAAATCTACTTTATAAAATACAAAATGGAGAAACTATATATTTTGCTGCTTTTAACTGCCAGTTTTTCATTAATTAATTGTGCTCCATTTTCAAACACTGGTAATTCCACAGACGGTGAGTGTTTTTAAATATAAAATTATTTTTCTGCAATTATTATCTATTATACAATATTCTCGATGCTATGTGAAAAAATTATTAATTTTACAGTTAAAATAATAATTTATCCAGATGAAGTTTTTCTTTGAAATAGGAAATTCAAACGTAATTGTTTGCAATTTTAAAGAATTACACGACAATTTTTTTTTAATTATTGCTCAAGGATACAGATAAGATTACAATATTCACTTATATGGTATAGTTGTTTGATTCAAAAGTGCGGAATTTTAAATTCCACCTGGAAAATAGAAAATTTCGTGCGATTTTTATAATTGAATTACAAAATTTAAATTGTATGTAAAAAATATTGAAAAATTAAATCTTTTTTTTAACGTTTTTGCTTTTTATTTGCAATTTTTTATTTAAAATTCAATTTAAAATTTAATTTAAAAAAATATTCTGAAATATGAACTTCAATTTTTGAATAATTTCAGATTCAAAATTTTTAAAATCTACTTCTTAAGTAAATAATTGATTATTAATTATTTAAAAAAAATTTTTTTAATTCTTTGTAATAATTCAATTATTTTCAATAAAATTTTAATAAAATTTCACGAAAGAGTTTAATTATTTTTAATACAATTTTAATAAAATTTCGCGAAAGAATTTAATTATTTTCTAAAATTTTAATAAATTCTTTAAAACAATTCAATTATTTTTAATTCAATTTTAAGAAAATTTCGCGAAAGGATTTAATTATTTTCAAATATTGTAACAAAAATTTCACGAATGAATTTAATTATTTTCTAAAATTTTAATAAATTCTCCGAAACAATTCAATTATTTTTGTAAATTTCAAAATTCTTTTTAAGAATTCAATTATTTTCAATAGAATTTTAAGAAAATTTTTAATTTCAATTACTAACAGACACGAATATTTTAAAAAGTTGAAAAAAAGTCTTCATAAAATTAAAAATTTTCAATTAAAATTATTAAAGAAACTCCATTATTTAAAAAAAAATCAAAGAAGTTCTTCAAAATAATTTATAATTAGTATTTTCAAGAATTTTAATAAAATTCTTCGCAATAATTTAATTACTTTCATAAATAATAAAATTCTTCGAAAGAATTCAATTATTTTCATAAATAATAAAATTCTTCGAAAGAATTCAATTAATTTTATAAATATAATAAAATTCTTCGACGAAATTCAATTATTTTCAAACTTTTTGACAAAATTCTTTGCAAAGAAAATTCAATAATTTTTAATACATTAATTTTAAAATTGAAAACATTTAAAGAAAAAAATTATTAGAAAAGTTAAAGAATAAATTATTTGTAAAAAATATTTTTTTGGAACATTTGTTTTCAGAATTTGAAAATTCCTACGTGGGCATACTAATTTCGCCAATTGTGTCGCCCGAAATTAGTAGAGAAATTGAAATTTACTGGAGTCACACGAAGATCCGTCCAGGTGACAAAATTGGACTTTTCTTTGAAAAGCCAAGAGATGATTTGAAACCAATTTTCATAATGGAACCAACGAGTCCTATTGGAATTGCAAAAACAGGAATAGAAGCTGATTTTATTCCATCTTCTAATCTCACTTTCACTAAACAATGCCTAAGTGAGCAGATAATTTGATAAATATAATTTTATAATTTTCCCCAGTTTTTTTCCCCATTTGCATTCATTAATTTTTATCTACTTTAATTATTCAACTAAACGTTATTAGTAATAACGAGTTAATAATTGCGGTTCATTGTAATTAGCAACTGTTAAGTGTTGATAATTAAAATGAACGTTTTAGATGAACATAATAATTATTTATTCTCAAGTTTCTCTTATCTCCGACTCTTACCAATTAACGTCAATCATATGTATCAAATTAACATATAAATTGTATTAATTGATGATTTATTTTTAATTGACTCGAAAAATGATAATTTTTTTGTTGAAGAATATCATGTCGCTTGGTTGCGGACTGGAATGGTGAGAAAAGAAAATTGTCTGAAAACTGAGCCAACGTGGATGGCCGATATGAGATGTATTTTAGGAAGCCAAAGAATGAGAGATATTTTTTTGCCAGGAACACACGATTCTTCAGCGTACACTAAAACCGATTTGCTCTTGCCTGAAACTCTAGTCACTAAATACGCAATTACCCAGGTACTTAAATTTAAGAAAAATGAAACTATTTTCAAAAATTTCGAAATTCAATATTTTATATGCTCCAAAAAATTCTGAACGTTCAAATGAACGAAATATTCAAATTTTTCGAAATTGCCACACAAAAAGAAAAATAATTCAAAAATTGGAAATTTACTTAGTAAAGAATCAATTTTTTAGTGTACAGAAACAATTTTCTTTTTGTAAAAACAAAAATTAAAAGCAGTAAAAAAAAATCATAAAAATCATTTAAAAAAAAATATCGTCGTTCATTAGAACGTTCGAAACTAGGATAAAAAATTATTTGCAAAAATATTAGGGTTATTATTTGTTATTAAATATTCTATTATATACGGATAAAAATTAAAAATCAAAATTAATTAAAAAAATGAAAAAATAGTAATTAAAAGAATAAAATTCTGGTCCGTGGTAGGTATCGTATTGATGAATCGCGAAATGGGGAATTGTAGCAATGAAATATGAATTAATACATTATTGATAATCGTTAGGATAATTACCCTTCAGGATGAGGATATTCTTGGTCAACTGATTTATGGAGCTCGATATCTGGACATCCGAGTGGGCTACTATGCTACCGAGGAAATCCAATGGTGGGGAAGTCACGGACTCGTTGCCGTTGTACCATTCCAAACAGTCGTTGAAGACGTGAAAACATTTCTCGATAATACAGATGAAATTGTCATATTCGACGTGCAAGAATTTCCTGTCGGTAAATCAATCTTTATTTAATAATGTTTTTTCTTCCTTATATGCAAATTTACGCAAATTACTAGCAAAATATTTATTTTCTATTTTTTAATATTAACTCCATTTTTTAAATAATAATTTAATTTAAATAATAATTTTTTAATACATTTTAAAAATTCACTTATCTAATTATTTATTGTTCATTATTTTTAAAAATTTAAATAAAATTTGTTCTTTAAACAAAATAAAAAAATAATTTCATAATTAATATAATTTTTTGTCGAAATTCAATTATTTTCAATACTTCATTAGGTAGCAAATAAAATTCTTCAAAATAAATCAAATTTTTTCAAAAATTTAGCTAAAATAAATTTTTAGAATTCAATTATTATTTTCGTAAATAATGAAATTTTTCACAGGAATTCAATTATTTTTATAAAAATAAAATTCTTCGCAAGAATTCAATTATTTAAGAAAAAGTAAAATTTATCGCTGGATTTGAATTATTTTTTTAATTAATAAAGTTTTTCGCCGAAATTCAATTATTTACAATAAAATTTTAATGAAATTCTTGTCAAGAATTCAATAATTTTCAAAATAATATAATTCTTTCTAAAAATTCCATTACTTTTAAACAAAATTTTAATAAAATTTTACGAACGAATACAATTATTTTCTAAAATTTTAATAAATCCTTCGAAACAATTCAATTATTTTTAAAATTTTAGAAGGAATTCAATTTTTTTCAAAAATGTTTATAAATTTTTTTTAAAGAATTCAATTATTTTCGTAAATAATGAAATTTTTCACAGAAATTCAATTATTTAGAATAAAATTTTAATAAAATTCTTCGCAAGAATTCAATTATTTTTTAAAAAAGGTAAAATTTATTGCAAGAATTTAATTATTTTTATAATTAATAAAGTTTTTCGCAAAAATTCAATTATTGCGAATAAAATTTTAATGAAATTCTCCAAAAAAATTCAATTATTTTCATAAATACTATAATTTTTCCCAAAAATTCAATTATTTTCATAAAATAATAAAATTTATATCAAAAATTCAATATTATCTCCAATACAATTTTAATAAAATGTATTAAAAGAATTTAATTATTTTCAAAATTTTAGAAGGAATTCAATTTTTTCCGAAAATGTTAATAAAATTCCTTTTTAAGAATTAAATTATTTTCGATACAATTTGTATAAAATTCTATGCAAGAATTAAATTATTTCTGATTCAAAATTGTAAAAGTTAAAAAAATTGTAACATTTTTTTTAAAGAAAATCAATATTCTCTAGAATTAATAAAAATTTAAACTAATTAGAACAAAAGTGCTTTGATATTTCTAAAAATTAAATTTTTAATTCTAACAAAATTATTTTTTTAAAAAGTTTTTAAAATATTGAATACTTTTTATTTCAAAATTCTAAAAAGAATTTTGAAATTTGTAAGAATCGCATTTGTAATTTTTAAAAATAATTTAAAAGATTTTACATTTAAATTATTAAAAAATTGAATTCATGTAGAAAAAAAATTAACAATAAGTATTTACATATTTATTTAACAAAAATTATTGGAATTTTGAATTATAAAATTTAGAAAATTTCTAAAAAATTCGGTTTTTAAAAAATTGTAATTAAAATTTTTAGAAAATAGTTAAATTCCCGAAAATAGTTTTAAAAAATTGTGACAATCGAAAAGTGTGTCAAATTTCATTGAAATAAATTTTATATTTTAAAGAAATTAATTTTTTTACTTTTAAAAATTAGTTTTAAATACATATAATCGTATTTAGAAATTCCAAAAAAATGTGGTTTTTGAAAAATTGTAATAAAATTTTTTAGAAAATACATAGTTGAATTCCCGAAAATAGTTTCAAAAAATCGAGACAATCGGAAAGTTTGTCTAATTCAGGGTGTCTAGCGAATCGTCAATTTAAAATTCCCGGGTTTTTCCCGGTTTTTTCCCGGGTTCTTGAATAATTTTCCCGGATATTCACAAAGGATTTAAAAACATATTTAAATGTTTATCAATAACATTATTTACGTAATTAAATATTGTTTTTATTAAATTACAATGATTAAAGTTATACAATAATTTCTAAAAACTTGACATAGAATATAAAAATTTCACTTATAAAAATTTCTCAACTTTATAATATAATTGTCAATTCAGGGGAATTTAAGAAAAACTTTTTTTGAAAAAAAAAATTCCGCTCGGTACATACATTATACCCTTTGAAATACTTGTAAAATTTAATTAATTTCTCAAACCATGAATTGCACATTATAATGTTTACATAGAATTAAACTAGAATATTTAAGCTTTATTTTTACATAAGTTTCAAGAAAATCGGATGCGACGTGTTTTGAGATATTCAAAAAGGTTATCTTTCAAACTTAATTTTTTTCATAAATTCTATTATTTAAAAAAAAAAATTTCTACCATTATAAAGTTGAGAAATTTTTGTTTTAAAACCACTAATAGTAAATAAAGTTTGGCTTCAATAAATATAAGAAATAATGATTTAAAAATTGCCTTACAATGTCAATTGTTTATAAGGAGGATCGTTTTGAAATGGAATGCCCCGTATTTAGTTTTAAAAAGTAAAATCTTTGCCTTTCCTATATCACAGAAGATTCTCAATTTCTTCTTATAAAATTTGTTACGTATTGTATACCTATAAATTGTTATATAAAAATAATAATAGTACAAATCCTTTAACTTTTATAATATAACCTATACTAAAGTTAGTTTTAAATAAAATTTAAGTTATTATTTTTACTACTGCTTCATACTATCAATTTACCCTTGACGATTTTGAAAAAAATTATAATTTTTTATATACATAATTCAAAAAATACCCTATAAATAGAAAATTCCCGGGTTTTTCCCGGTTTTTTGAGGTCGAACCAAATTCCCGGGTTTTTCCCGGTTTTTCCCGATTTCCCGGTTCGCTAGACACCCTGTAATTCCATTGAAATAAATTTTACATTTTAAAGAATTGTATTTTTTTACTTTTAAAAATTAGTTTTAAATATAATCGTATTTTTAAAGAATTCTAACTGAAAATTTAAAATTGAAATTGAACTAAAAATTGAATAGAATTGAATAGAAAAATTTAGAATTTAAGTTATTCATTGCGATAAAATTTCGATAAATTTAAATAAAAAAAAAATGTAAAATTGATGAATTGCAGGTTTTGGTAAAGATTTCACAACTCATCGGAAATTGGTCGCATTTTTGGAAGAGCAATTTGCTGATTATATAATTCCAAAATCCTTCGGCTGGTCCAGCACACTAGAAACAATTTGGTCTTCGGGAAAAAGACTTATAATTGGATATGACGAGCAAAATGTCGTTGGCATGTACGAAAGTTTATGGCCAAGTGTCTATCAACAATGGGGCAATGTGCAAAAAGTTGACGATTTGTATGAGTATTTGAATAAAATTGAAACCAATGCCCTCAGGTAATCGACAATTTTTGTATTTAGTTTTTTTCAGTCATTTTATTAATTGCAACTGAAATTAATTATTATATTAATGATTTTTACTTTACTATTACTTTTTCAATTTATTACTAATTTTTCATAATAATTTAATAATTTTTCAATTTACTATTGGTTTTTCATAATAATTTATTAATTTTTCAATTTACTATTGGTTTTTCATAATAATTTATTAATTTGCTATAAATTTATTAATTTACTATTAATTTTTCAATTTTCTATTAATTTTTCAATTCACTATTAATTTTTCAATTTACTATCAATTAACAAATTTTTTAATAATATGAAAAGTTTGATTCTCTAAATACTTACAATTAAAAAAACGAATTATTTCAGTTCCTTGAAAGTGAATCCAAGATCCGCGATGGCAGAATTGACTCCCAAGGCTTGGGACATTTTTCTCGACAGACTGGGAGGACTTCGAAAAATGGCAGAAGAAGTTGATGCAAAAATTACCATGTGGTACAACACAAAATGGCAACTATCTGCAAATATTGTGTCCGTTGATTTTATCAAAGCCACCGGAATCGTGGAAGCAGCTCTGGAATGGAATATAAGAAGATTCAACAACACTTTTCCAATAGAATGTAAAGAGAAAAACTAAAAAAAAAAAAATTCTCAAATTGACCATAAGTAGATAATTCAGAGATAATTTATTCAATTGTTTATTTTTTTCTCAAAATAAATCATTTCATAATTCTTATGAAATTTTACAAAAAATTGTGCATTAATTTTTTTTTTTAACTAATCTGACATTTATTTCCATCAACATCTGAATTTTTATATTTTATTATTTTAAATATTTTTTATGTTATAGGTATAAATACATGTATATTTATTATTTATAATGAAAAAATTGATAATAAATATAAAATATTCATAGAAAAAATTGTTTATAAAAATAAAAAACAAAATATAAAAAATATTATTATTGTATATAATTAGATGATTTTCGATGTCATCGTTTGCTGAGAATTTATATAGACTTAATTCTATTACTCTGATAAAAGATTAAACTGTTTTAAGGCTAAAACGCAATTCTCAGATTTCCGGCGGAAACGCAAATAATACTTTAATGAAGGTAACTTAGAAGCAAAAAATTATTTGTTGCTCATTACATGCAACATATACAGAAGATAAAAAAAATTCCCTCAGTATTCGGATTCTAATCTCAAAAGACTTGTGCAATAATTTTAAAATAAAATATTTTTTATCAATTTCATATATTTTATGAATATAATGAGTTAAATAATTTATAATCATTTAAATTTTAAACTATTAATATAATATTTATTATTATTAATTTTAAATTATTTAAGTAGTTAAAAAATTAATGTGAAAACTTAATTGCAAAATTTATTAAATTCAGTTTCTTGTGATTTAAATAACAAATTTAATTTACAAACTAGTTCAAAAATTACAAAAAAAAAAGAATAAATTTCATTTTTCAATTTCTTGTAATAATTACAAAAATGAAAGTTTCTGTAATTTTATACTTATTGAAACTGAAAGTACTTATACTTTTGGTACATTCTTGCAAAGGACAATTTTGGCCAGAATATAATTCTTTCAATGAAACAGGAATCGATCGTGTTTTTTCTTGTTCAACAAATAAAAAGTGTATTAAACTGCACAATTGTCCAGAATTATTGAATTTGATGCAACAACAAGCACTTCCAGTTTCCAGGTAATTAATTTCGAAAAATATCGTGAAAATTTTCAATTAAATTAGTAAAAATAATTAAAAATTATTTTTTTATATTTTAATAATTAAAAAATAATTCAATAATTAGTAAATAATTAAATAATTAAAAAATAATTCAATAATTAGTAAAAATAATTAAATTGCTAATATTATTTTCTCATTCAAAAAGTTGCAGTAAAAAATAATTTCGAGATTACTCCAATTTCCTCATTATTCAAAATTAATTAGACCATTTACCATTTCATTCGTCTTCTTCTTCTTTTTTTGAAGATTACGATCCTCAATTTGTGGATACACTGAATCAAGCCTCAAAGTATGTTGTGATCCACTTGCACGTTCCGTTGATGCAATTTCTGATCCGGAATCATCTCCATATCCGGTCTGGAATCTTCAATGTGGGCAGACTTTAATTAAAAGCAATGTAGAAACTTTAGGAAGTTATCCATTCGTCGTTCTCGTTAGTTTCGTCAGTAAGTTTCGTTTCCTTCCAAAATAAAATCTGAAATTTTCACAAAGAAAAATTATTTTTTCAAATTTTTATTTGACTAAATGACTAAATTTTCATTTAGTGATTTAAAAAAAAAGAAATTTCTGAAAAAAGCAGAAGTTTTCGTAGAAAAATTATAGACTTTAAACTCTGAACTAAAAATGAAGTTGAAAAGATAGATTTTTTTACTATTATCTACTTACTGGTAAATTAAAATAAATTATTAAATAAATTTTTTTAATTTTAATTTCAAAAATTTAATTTAATTTTAAAAATTTAATTTAATTTCAAAAAATTAATAATAAATTCTTTTTAGATAATGCAAACAGAGCCGTAATTTATCCCTGTCTTGGTACAATAATAAATGAAAGAAGCATTCTGACAACAGCAACTTGTGCATTAGCAAATTATGGAAATTTCCAACTGTAGGTCGAATTAATTTTTTTCTCATCAAATTAAATTTCAAGTATCTTATTTAAATATTTTTTAAAAGTAATTTTTTTTATTTTATTTAGGCACTCGGTGGTGGTTGGGGATTTCGACATTTCAATGGATCCTGATTGCAATGCATTATTTTGTAGCCACAAGGCTCGACATTATCCAATTTCGTACGTTATTAAATATCCGAGCTTTGAATCAACAACTTACACAAATAATATTGCTCTTTTACGTCTAACGACTTCTATCGAATTTACTGGTAATTTACTCATGAAGTATTTTTTTTCGAATTCTCTAAAATTATCCCCAGATTCGTCAATTTTTTTGAAACCCAAAAAAAAAATTGTTTTTCACAAACGCTTGTTTGGGAGACAAAAAATATTGATAAATGTAACAAGACTTGAAATTCTTTAGTTTTCTGATGAGTAATTTTTGTGTTAATTATTAAATATTAAATTTGTAGTTACCTTTTCTTTTAGTGACAGCACAACCGATATGTCTTCCACCTGCCGAATTCATTGTCAGGGAAGGAAAATTAGGCACCGTCGTTGGATGGGAAAAATTGTCTTTCCAAAGAGGTAAAGTAAAAAAATTCATCTCCTAAATTTAGGAAAAATTGTCTTTCCAAAGAGGTAAAGTAAAAAATTCATCTCCTAAATTTAACAAACTTTAACGTTTAATTTAATGTCTCAATTAATAATTCAAACAAAATTAGTTATTTTTGAAGATATTAATAAGAAAAATATTACCTATAGCGATTTGCAGACCTCGGATCGATTTTCGACTAAAAGGCGTTTTAGTCGAAAAAATTGCATTTTTTAAACATAATCGAAAATTCAATTCTATCCGAAGGAATTATTAAATGTAATATTAATTATTAAATTTAATTGGAAATTTTTTATTTCGAACGCAGATATGTCTTCAACTCAGCAAATATTGAGAATGAAATTAATGCCTTTGGAAGAGTGTTCACAATATACAAAACGTGGATTATCAGTTGAACTCTGTGCGAGGGGAGAAGAGCCATGTTCCGGTTTCAGTGGTGCTCCATTTTTCAGCCGTGAAGGCGATAATTATTTTCTGGTATAACTTTATTAATTAAAAATTTAAAAATTAAAGAATACACTCAATATTTCTATTTGGTGATAATTTAAAAATTTTAAATTTCCCTGCAGATTGGTATTGTATCCCACGGATCAGATTGTGAGGATCAAACAAGTGATCCTACAGTCTTTGTTGACGTTCAAAAATATACTGATTGGATTAGAAACAACTTTTAAAAAAATAAGTCTTCTAAACTGATTTTGAACAAAAAAAATAATATGTAATAATAATCCAAACAACCGAAACATCAAAATAAAATAATAAGTTTAAAGTAAGTGAAATTAATACTGGAGGATTAATTAACATCGAATATTTAGATTATATTTAACAGATATATTTAATAAAAATACGATTTTTTTTACAAATTTAGTTTCTTAAATGTTATTTGTGCTTAAAAATATTCAAATATTTACCGCGCGTCATTTCCCTAGCTTCTTCAACTCCAAGCTCGTAAGCTAAATCGTGAAGTTTTTTAACTTCCTTTATAAGTAGATCCATTGTTAAGTTTCCCAATTCTAAAAATTTAATTAAATATTTCAGTGTTGGATTCAAAATAATTTTGTTGATAAATAAAAAATTTTGTTTTTAAATTCTATTCATCATTTTCTACTTTAAATTCTATTTGAAATTTAGTATTTTAAATTCAATTTAAAATTTTCAACTTTTATTTCTATTTATAATTGCCTACATTTATTTAATTTAATTGTAAAATTATTCGAAAAAAACATCAATGACTTTTTATTTAAATAAACATTTAATTATTATTTTTCAGTAGGAATTAAAATTCTTCAAAATATTCAAATTCAAATCTTCTCGAAATTCAACAACTCATAAAAATATTATTTATTATAAAACATAAAGAAACCGATCACTCCGAGTCTTCGACTCGGAGTAATCAATTTCTTTACGTTTTATGCTAATTAAAGAATGTCCGATTGAAATTCATGCTATAATGTTTTTAATATTCAATTATTATCTAAAATTTTTAACTGAAATTCATTTTTAAATAAATTTCAATTAGAAAATTGTACGAGAATTCATTTATTTTAAAAACAAAAATAAATAATTTATTGAATAATTAAATATTTCTAAAAATTGAATTCTCATAAAGAATTTTAACAACAAAAATTTCAAATATTTGAATTCTTTTGACGAATTTAAATAAAATTTTTAAGAATAATTACATTTTTCGAGGAATTTGATTAAAATTGTATTAAAAATAATTAAAATTTGTGATGAGTTTTATTATTTGTAACTTCTCCAAAATTCGATTATTTTTTTTAGAGTTTTTATCTAAAATTCCTCTATAAATAAATTATTTTTAATAATTAAATATATATTTAAAAATTCAATTAATTTCAACAGAATTGTAATTAAAATTTAAGAAAAAATTAATTACTATAGAAAATTGATAACTAATAGTACAAAAAATTCAAGTTTTCAAAGATTTTAACTTGAAACCTTTTCAAAATTCAGTTATTTCTAAAAATAAATCCTGTAATGCTTCAAATATTCAATTATAATCTAAAATTTTAACTCAATTTTTAATAGAAAATTCTACAAGAATTCAATTATTTAAATACAAATTACATAATTTATTAAATAATTGAATAATTCTTAAAATTCAATTTTTTTTAAGGTTTTAATTTGTACAAAGAATTTTGTTAAAATTTTGAAAAATAATTGAATTCCTGAGAATTTTTGAAAATAATTAAATGTTTGCGTACAACGTACAATTTTGTTAAAATTTTTTTTTAAATAATTGAATTCTTTATTATTTATGAAAATAATTGAAATCTTGCAAAGAATTTTATTAAAATTTTGAAAAATAATTGAATTCCTGAGAAAAATTGTATTATTTTTTATAAAAATAATTGAATGTTTGCAAAGAATTTTATGAATATTTTTTTCAAAAAATTGAATTTTCGTGAAAACTTTATTTTTTCTGAAAATAATTTCATTTCAGTTAAGAATGTTATTATTTATGAAAATAATTTAATTTTTGGAAAAATTTTTTAAAAACAATTGAATTTCTTAGAAGAATTTTATAAAAGTTTTATGAAAATTGTTAATAATTGAATTTTTTGAACGAAATTTAGTATTTATTAAAGCAATTGAATTTGTACAAAGAATTTTATTAAAATTTTGAAAAATAATTGAATTCCTGAAAATTTTTGAAAATAATTAAAAGTTTGCGTCCAATTTCATTAAAAATTTTTGTTAAATAATTGAATTCTTTATTATTTATGAAAATAATTGAATGTTTGCGAAGAATTTTATCAAAAATTTATTTAAATAATTGAATTCCCATAAAAATTTTATTATTTCTGAAAATAATTGAATTTCTGCGAAGAATTTTAATGAAAGTTTTATGAAAGATGGAAATAATAATTATTTATGAAAATAATGTAATTATTTCGCGAAGAAATTAATAAAAAATTTTAAAAGTATTGAATTTCTGTGAAATTTTTATTATTTATGAAAATAATTAAATGTTTGTGTAGAATTTTATTAAAATTTTTTTTTAAATAATTGAATTCTTTTGGAAAATTTTGGAAAAATAGTAGATATTGAAAATTATTGAATTGAGGAGAATTCTTGAAAATAATGAAATTTTTGCCAAGTATTTGATGGAAATTTTTGGAAAATACTTGAATTTCGGAGAAGAATTTTATTTTTCATAAAGATGATTATAATTTTGAGGACATTTTTTTTTTAAATTTGAATTAATTAATTAATTTGAACATGATAATGATGAATTTTGAAAAACTTACGATGTAATTGATTAATTTCACTCGCTGTCAGTGAGGAAGTCCAATAAGGCTGTTCAGTTTGAGGCGAGTTTTGAGCAACGTACTCATTTACACCTGGAACTTCATCATTTTTATTTTTTCATTTCATCGAAAAATAAATAGTTACCTCTAAATTAACTCAACTAGAATATGCTAAATTAAACTCACTTTGTTCTGGCCAAAGATCTGGTGATGCACGATCGAGTTTCTCCAAGCTCATTAGACTCTCCTCCACGATAGTCAATTCTGCAATAAAAATAAAAACATCTAATAGTAACCGAAATTTAAATGACTATATAAAAATCACATAAATTGAATCTATACAAAAAACTATAATACTTTTAGCTTATGCTAAAGACTTGAATTTCTATCAATTTTGCCTAATTTGATAATTCGAGTTTGAAACAAGATTTAGATTGTACAACGCGTACAAAATGACGCTTTGTTTACTAAAAAACAGTCTCTGAAAAAATTTAGAAGTAATTTTTTAGAACTCACCCGAATCGGCCTGGTCTGATTCGTCACTTGCCATTCTTGTTGATTAATCAAAATTTATTTTCAAAATAAATAAACAACTAAATAAAACTACCAAACTCAGTAATCTAATTACATGAGCGGGAAAGCGTCCTTTTCACTATGTTCAGTTCACTTTTAAACTGTTTTCCAAAACAATTTTTGAATGTATTACTTTAGAGTGCTAAATTAGTTAATTTATCCTTTTCTGCTTCAGATCTTCGTAATTCTTCAGCAAGAGCTTGTTGTTTATTCAGTATATGAAGATTTTCACGTTTTCTACGATCTTGGTTTTCTTTATCTCGAATTACACCCAAGCGAAGTTGCTCCCTAAAATGAAAGAAAATTATATCGATTCTTTACACGACATAACCTCAAAATTATATATTTTCATACTGATCGAATTGTTGTTTATAATGCACATAAGCAATTGTTGAAACTGTTGCAACACAACTTAAAGTAAAAACAGTTTTTGATGCCAAAGACATTGGCACTATAATTATATTAATAAAGTTAATAAATACAAAATTGCAGAAATAGCATTGACTGAAATGCACTACGCCCTCTACGCACAATTGAAGTTAATTTGTTGCTAACTTCACACTTGAAGCAACTCGAAGTTTCGTAGCACGTAAATGACGTAAGTTACGTACATGTAAACGCAGGTCGCTGATTGGTAAATGTTTCTCGCGCGCTTTTCAAAAAGTAGCTACAATTAAATAAATTTAAATAAACACGTTGATAAATAATTCAGTAATTATTTATAAATTATTGGAAAGGGAAATTTAAATATTTTTTTTATACAATACACTTATGAATCATTGTGATTTGTTCAGTTTTTAATAATCATTGTCTGGTCATCGTGTAACTTTGTGGGTGTAACGTGTACTACTGGAGAGTTTAATGAGTGCAACATGGCTTCTAAAGACAGTAACCTGTCATCATTGTATGCAGAATTAAATAAACAAGGACAAAATGGAGAATATGATCGAGCATTGAAGACAGCAAATAGAAGTAAATATCATATTTTATTAAATTAAATTAATTTTATTACTATCAGTTTTAAACTTTTCCTTCTTTTACCAAAAGTTGTATCCTAACCTAAAAGAATGTTACTTTCAATATGTTCGATTCAAATGTAAATATAAAACTTTTCACTTGTTTCTTCCCCTTTATACCTCAATTGTTGTTAATATTTTATTAAATAACCTGTAAATTTCAATTTCACGAAAATCTTTCCACTTTTTTAAACTGAAATTTTAATTTATCTCCAGTTTTGGGAATATCTCAAGATGAAGAAGCAGCCTTGCACTGTAAAGTTATTTGCTACATGCAATTATCGAAATTTAATGATGCCCTTCAGCTTATTGTCAAGAATGCGAAACTTACAGCGTGAGTAGAGTGTTCATTCAATAATTATACGTTTTTAAAATATTTAAATTTCTATCTGCAATTAATTTAAAATTTATTCAATATAGGTATTCAAATTCTAGATTTATAATTTCTGATAAAAATGTTTTTATTTTCTATTACACAGAAAATTGGAATTTGAGAGAGCTTATTGCTTGTATCGAATGAACCAAGTTCCGGAAGCTTTAAAAATTGTGGAGGGCATTCAAAATCCTTCGTTGAAAATTAAAGAACTCAAGGCTCAAATTCTTTATCGTTTGGAAAAATATGAAGACTGTTTTGCAGTTTATCGGGATATTATTAAAAACACGACGGATGATTATGAGGACGAGAGGGAAACAAACTTGTCAGCTGTTATTGTCAATTTAGTTAGCAATGATTCCGTACGTACTTATTTAGTAATTATGATTAATCTGAAATTTTTCAAAACAATTATTGTTTAAATTTTGAAAATTTTAAAGCAATTCTTTGAAAGAATTCAACTATCTTAATAAATATCAGAATTCTTTCCAGAACAATTATTTATAATAATTTGAAAAAAAATTCTCGTCAACATTTCAATTATCTTTCTGAATAGCCAAATTCTTTGCCAAAATTCAATTATTTTCAGGAATTTTAATAAAATTCATTGCGAAATTCAATTATCTTCGTAAATAACAATATTTATCAGAAGAATTCAATTATTTTCAAAATTAAAAAATTTCTTCGCAAAAATTCAATTATTTTCAAAAAATCGTCAACATTTCAATTATATCTTTATAAATAGCCAAATTCTTCGCCAAAATTCAATTATTTTCATAAATAATTGTATTCATCACAAGAATTCAAATATATTCAAAATTAATAAATTTCTTCGCAAAAATTCAATTATTTTCAAAACATTGTCAACATTTCAATTATCTTTATAAACAGCCAAATTCTTCGCCAAAATTCAATTATTTTCAAGAATTTTAATAAAATTCATTGCAAAATTCAATTATTTTCGTAAATAACAATATTTATCAGAAGAATTCAATTATTTTCAAAATTAATAAATTTCTTCGCAAAAATTCAATTATTTTCAAAAAATCGTCAACATTTCAATTATTTTTATAAATAGCCAAATTCTTCGCCAAAATTCAATTATTTTCAGGAATTTTAATAAAATTCATTGAAAAATTCAATTATTTTCATAAATAATTGTATTCATCACAAGAATTCACTTATTTTCAAAAATTTTTCTTAATTCAATAATTTTTATATCTATTATTTTAATAAAATTTCCCAAAAGAATTAAATTATTTAAAAACAATTTTGATAAAATTCTACACGAGTAGGTATTGAATTATTTTCTAAAATAATGAACTTTTGACCGGAATTCATTTATTAAAAATAGAATTTGCATAAATTTTTTCGAAAACTAATTATTCTTAAAAATTTTATTAAAATTTACTAATAATTGTAATTTTTGGAAATAAGTTAATTCTAAAAAGTTTTCACATACATTAAAATCTTTGAAAATCTAATTTTTTCATAGGTATTTTTAATTAAAAATTCTATAGAACTAATTTTTTTTTTAAATCTTAATCATAATTTTTAAAAATTATTTCATGTTTTTATTTTCTAATGTTTATTTAATTGAAGAATTTTCGAATAATCAAAATTTCGTAAAATTGAATTATTGTAGGCAAAATGAACTTGAAAATTCTCAAAAGAACTTTATTAAAAATTATTAAAAATAATTTATTTAAAAAAGAATTTTATTTAAAAATTCTAGAAAATAATAATTGAATTGAAATTTTAATTATCTTTATAAATAATGAAATTTAATTATTTTCAAAAATGTTAATTAAATTCTTGTCCAAATTTCAATTATTTTCAAAAGAATTTAATTACTTACAAATTTTTTATAAATTTCTTAAAAAAAAATTCAATTATTTACACAAATATTAAAATTTTTTGCAGGGATTCAATTATTTTCCTAAATAGTAAAAGTCTTTTTAGAAATTCAATAATTGTTTTTCATAAATAATAAAACTCATCGCAGAATTCCAATTATTTTTAATATAATTTTAATCGAATTTCTCGAAAAATGTAATTATTCATTAAATTCAATTATTCAATAAATTATTAATTTTTTTACTTAAATAAATTAATTCTCTAAGGACTTTTTCAAAAATAATTAGAAATAATTGATTTAATGAAGAATTTTAGTTCAAAATTCATAGACAATAATAATTTAATTGAAATGATAATATTTTCAATATTAGTATTGAAAATAATTTTGAAAAATTTACAGGAAAAAATTTTTATAATTATAAAATAATGATTTCATCAGTCGGTCATCTTTAATTATTATAAACCATGAAGATATAGATTGCTCCGAGTCGAATGCTCGGAGTGATCGATTTCTTCATGTTTTTTTTTTAATGGTTTAATTTCCAAAAATATGAATTTGATATTTTGAAAATCCTAATTCCCATGGAAAAATAATAATAATTAAATATTTATTTAAAAATGGAGTTATTGATGTTTTCGAATAATTTTACAATTAAATTAAATAAATGTAATAGAACATTTTTTTTAGTAGAATTGTTAGAGAAAATCAGAATATTCTTTAGGGTCAGGGAAAAAATCAAAATTTTGTCTGGAAATCAGGGAAAAATCAGGGAAAGATAAAATTATTTTTTTGTGTCAACCTTAAATTTGAAAATAGAGTGATTAGTGTTTCAGTGAAATTAATGCACCTAGAATTTTTACAATAACAGAATTTAAAGATTTATATTTTGCAAAATTACATTTTTTAGAAAATAATTATTAAATAAAATTCCAGAGTGTGGAAGTACCTTCACTGAGGGAGCACACTTACGAATTAACTTACAATGCGGCTTGTCAACTGGTGGCCCAAGGAAGTGGAGGCGATAAAGTAATTTTAGCCGAGGCTGAGAAAAAGTTGAAAACCGCAGAAAGAATGTGTCGTGAATTACTCGAAGAAGATGGCATGACAGAGGAGGAAATCGAGGAGGAACTTGGCATTATAAAAATTCAACTCGGCTATTGTCTTCAACTTCAGGGCCGCGATAAGGAAGCACAGACTTTATATACAAATGTTTTAAAAACAAAACCTAATGATATTGCTCTACTCGCAGTGGCCAGTAACAATTTAGTTACTCTAAACAAGGATCAAAATGTTTTCGACAGCAAGAAACGAATGAAGAGTGCTACTCACGATGGTTTGGAGCATAAACTCACTATTCCTCAAAGACGAAGTATCGCTTATAATCAGTGCCTTCTCGCTTTATTCACTAATCAGGTTTGCTTAAGAAATTAAAATTAAAATTTCACCTTTTTTTCCAATTCTTTAATTTTTCTTTGAGCTCTTTTTTTAAATTAAAGAATTGAAAAAAATTTTGAATTTGTTATGGGTGTATTAATTGTCTTTTTTCTGTTATTTAGGGAGAACAATGTCATCAGTTGTGCAATAAACTAATTAAAGATTATCCTGAATTAACGTCGAATGCAACGCTAGTGAAAGCTATGCAGTTGAGTAAGGAGGGCAAAGCGAAGGAAGCTTCGAAATTAATAACCGAATGCATGACTGGAGAGAATGAATTATCTATGAAATTAGCATGCGTACATTTACTCTTGAGTCAGGACGAAAGGAAGGAGGCAATTAAAATTTTGGAGAATTTCAGCGATAAGGAAAGATCATTGCCGGGAATTGTTAGTGCTCTCGTCACTCTTCATATGGCTGAAAATAATCGTGAGAGAGCTTCTGAAATTCTCAAGGATGCTGTTAATTATTATAAGAAAAATAAGGTACACAATTTTCTATTAAATCTTTCTTAAAAATGTTTTCGAAACTCAGATTTTTTATTTATACTTTTTTTTAATTTACTTTTTACTTTTTTTAATTACTTTGATATATTCATTCCAGGCTTCGCACTCATCTACTAAAACCTACTTTTTACAACTTTTTTTACGTTATGCTACTATTTGGGAACTTTTTTTAGATTTCAGCCACTAAAAGCTACTATTTCAGTTTTTGTTTTGAAAATTTCCGCTACTTTAAATTCGCTAATACTAGAAATAAAAAAACTATTCTCATAAATTATAATAACGTAGAATGTTTTCAGGACCTTAATTTTTGTCAAATAAAATTGTTTATATTGTGGCCTTGGGTCCAATATTTTTGGACCCAAGGCGACAATATAAACAATTTTATTTGACATACATTATAATCAAATTCTTTAAAAAGATTCAATTATTTTCAAAAAATATTCGAATAGCATTTTCAAAAAATTTTCGAAAAAATGAATTATTTAACAAAATTTTTATAAAATTCTTCAGAATAATTCAATTACTTTCACTAATAATAATATTTTTCATGGAAATTCAATTATTTAGAAAAATGTTTGACATAATTCTAAGCAAGAATTCAATTATTTTCATAAATAATAAAACTCATCAAAGAATTTCAATTATTTTTAATACTATTTGAAATTAATTAATCGAAAAATTCAATTATTTTCACAAATAAAGTTTTCCGAAAGAATTCAATTATTTAAAATAAAATTTTCATAATATTTAATCAGGGTGGCCACATGTCAGTAAAGTCAGGGAAATGTCAGGAAAAAATTTTTTGACAGGGAAATTAAGAAAATTAAGACTTTTTCATATTTTCATATAAAAAGAATTTTGTCAGGGAAAGTAATTTTTATGTCAGTAAATTGTCAGGGAAATGTCAGGGAAATTGATAAACTGAAACTTGTGACCACTCTGTTAATATATTTTGAAAAAATTAATTATTTAAAACAATGTTTATAAAATTTGTATGAAGAATTCAATTATTTTCAAAGATAACAAAATTTTTCACAGAAATTAAATTCTTTTTAAACATTTTAATAAAATTCTTTACAATAATTCAATTACTTTCACAAATAATAACATTCTTCAAGAAAATTCAATTTCTTAAAAATTTTTTTGATAAAATTCTAAGCAAGAATTCAATTATTTTCATAAATCAAAATAAAATTCATTGGTGGATTTCAATTATTTTTATAACATTCTTCCTAAGAATTCAATTCTTTTCAAGAATAAACATTTTCAAAGGAATTCAATTATTAAAAAAAACTAATTTTTAATTCTTCGACAGATTTCAATTATTTTCAAATATTTAAATAAAATTGTTAGAAAGAAATCAATTATTTAAAAATTTTAAATACAATTTTAATTAAATTTTTTTGTAATAATTCAATTATTCTTTTAGATTTTAATAAAATTCTTTGCAAAATTCAATTATTTTCATAAATAACGATATTCATCACAAGAATTCAATTATTTTCAAAAGTAATACATTTTTTCTTAAAAATTCAATTATTTTTAAAAATTCTAATAAAATCGTTCTCAAGAATTGAATTATTTTCATAAATAATAAAATGCTTTTTAGAAACTCAATTATTTTCAAAAAAATTAGATAAAATGCCACACAGACATTCAATTATTCTCAAGAATTTTAATAGAATTCTTTGTAAAATTTAATTATTTTTAAAAACTTTTCGCAATTCAATGACTTTCAATATTTACTATTTTCATAAAATTTCCAAACAGAATTCAATTATGTAATTAAAAAAAAAATTTTGTAAACATCTTCGTAAGAATTCAATTCTTTTTATGAATATTAAAAATTTCTCAGGAATTCAATTATTTAAATTAGAATTTGCATAAAATTAGTCGAAAGAAATGAATTACAGTAGAACCTTGGTTATCCGAGCCTCGATTATCCGAGATTCCGGATTATCCGAGGCACTAAACATGCTCGGTTAATGCCGAATAACTCGGATAAAACGAATCGAGCGACTAAATTTGGAAAAAAAATTTTACAAAACTACTATTTGTGATCATTGCATTTAAAATTTCGTTAATTTTTGTCGTTTAATATTATTCTAACACTTTAAACACATGGAAAATAATTTTAAATTATGAAATTTTCATTTGTTCCGTGTTATCCGAGTTTTCGATTATCCGAGGCACCTCTTCCCCACATTACCTCGGATAATCGAGGTTCTACTGTATTTAAAAATTTGTATGAAATTCTTATCGCAAGAATAAAATTATTTTTATAAATATTTAAATTCTTTCATGAATAATAAAATTCGTTGAAGGAATTGAATTTATTAGCATCATGATAAGAAAGAAGTAAATATTTTTTGTATAAAAATTAGGAAAAAGTTGGAAAAATAAAATATAGAATAGAATTTTTGTCAGTTTTGTGAAGTTTCTAAAATGAGTTTTTTTTGCTCGTCAAGTTTAATTTTTCGATTTCTACTTTTTTACTACTTTCTTTTGGCTTGAAAGCTACTTTTTGCTTCTCTTTTTAAAATTAATTATCGAGTGCGAAGTCTATAATTTATTTATGTTATTTCTCTATTAATCTTGTAATGCTTTTCAGGAAAATACTGGAAATTTGGGCACGCTCTGGAGGCAGGCTGCAGATTTTCATTTGCGTGGTGGCGAAGTCACTGTCGCAGCTGCCAGTCTGGAGGAATTACTCGCAGCATCACCAAGTGATACAAAAACTCTTGCTCAATTGGTCATTGCCTATGCTCAATTTGATCCGGTGAAAGCTCAACAGTTGTCGAAACGTCTACCACCACTTGATCATCTTACAGAAAATATGGATGTCGATTCCTTGGAAAGTAGCAATTGGGTGATTGGCAGTAAAGTTGTTAAAGGAAAAGTCGAACCTTCGCCAGGGTAAGAATTTATTTCGAAAAAAGTTTTGAATAAAAATTCTAAAAAATAATTGAAGTTTACAAAAAACTTGGAATTTATTTAGAATTTAGAATTTATTGTCAAGTTTTGATGTTAATTTTCTACGAATGTTTAGAAAACCTCCAAGTTCCGACGTAGCGCAAAAGAAGAGCAGAAAACGCAAACGTAAAGGAAAATTGCCGAAGAATTACGATGCGAATGTTGATCCTGATCCGGAAAGATGGCTACCAAAACATGAGCGAAGCGGTTTTAGGAAAAAGAGAGATAGAAGGAACAGAGATGCCGCGATGAAAGGAACCCAGGGAGCGGCAATGGGAGCCAGCGATCAATTGTACGTAGAATTTTAAATCATTCCGGATTTTTTCTAAAAAGAAAAATAGTTTAAACGAATTTACCTTTAGTGCTTTTGTCTATTTAACAATTTTTTCTTTTTTTCAGTGACATCACGAAGATGGCTACCACAAAACCATCTCCAAATCCCCGTCAAAGTCCTGCAGTTGAAACTTCTGGTCCTAGACAGCAACAGCGTAAAGTTCAACAGAAGAAAAAGAAAAAAGGAGGAAAGTGGTAAAATAGTTTTCATTTAAATAAGAAAAATATTCACTTTTTTAGAATATCAAAATAAATTTTTAAAAAATTGCAATTGGTTTACAAGGTTTATATATTCATTTTCTGGAAGATGGATTAAATTTTATGTTACTAATAAGAATTTGTATATTATTAAAAAATTTCATTTTATTAATGAAATCTTTCAATATCAAAACAACTTCAAACTTTAGTATTTTCCAATTTGTAAAAGAAGCATAAATTAGTTTTAATTTTTTAAATAAAACACGTTCATTCAGTAATCGGGTGGAATTTTGTACAATTTATGTAATGGATTGTAAATTAAACATAAATTTCTTCCAAAAAATTTGAAATGAACGAATTAATCAACAAAAGTGAATTTTACAACAAAAATAAAAAATTTTTAAATAATAATCAATGATTTTTTAAACGAACCACGAATCAATCGAATGGAATTTTATACAATTTATGCACGGATTGTAAATAAAATATAAATTTCTTTCTGAAAATTTGAAATTTTAACAAAAATAAAATTTTTAAAGTCAACAAAAACGAATTTTTATTTTTAAACAATAATCAAGTATAGAAAAGTATATAAATTTAAAGGGTTGCCACGCTTTTGCTCATTTCAAGTTCCCTGACTTTTCCAAGTTAAAAAACGGAATTTTTCTAGGTTTTTAAAACTACATTTGTTGACAACAAAAATTTAATTTTATATTTCCCTGACTTTTTGACAAAATTCTAACTTCTTCTTGTCTCTAAAGAACATTTTCATTCAGTTTAAAAATTATTACTCAGAAAAATATTCTATTGCTTCTTTTTTAAATAAATATTTAATCATTATTATTTTTCCATGAGAATTAAAATTCTTCAAAAGATTCAAATTCGAACCTTTTTGAAAATAAAAAATATATTAGAAAATAAAGACTTCAAATAATTTTAAAAAAAATTCAAATAAACTTTTTCAGAATAAAATTAATTCTACAATATTTATAGTTAAAAGTATGGTTACTAAATATTGGAATTAGTGACTGACTTCTTGCTTTTGAATTAGTACCTAAATTTTACTATTAAATTAGTAGAAACGACTATTTATTGGTACAATCTGCTAATTCAAAAGCATAATATCAGTCACCAATTCAAATTAGAAACCATGTTTACTAATTCAAATTTAGAGAGTTTAATATTCAATTATTATCTACAATTTGAACTGAAATTCATATTTAAATCAATTTTTATTAGAAAATTCCTACGAGAATTCAATTATTTAAATACAAAAATAAACAATTTATTGAATAATTGAATGTTTCTTAAAATTGAACTCTCATAAAGATAATTTTATCAACAAATTTTTAAATAATTAAAATTATTTGGATGAATTTTAATAAAACTTTTAAGAATAATTTCATTTTTCGATCATTTTGAAAATAATTGAATTCCTGAGAACAAGTTTATTATTTATGAAAATAATTGAATGTTTGCGAAAAATTTTATCAAAATTTATTTTAATAATTGAATTTCCGTGAAAACTTTATTTGCGAAAATTATTTAATTTCACTGAAGAATTTTATTATTAATGAAAATAATTTAATTTATGGAAAAAATTTATTTAAAATTTTTTAAAACAATTAAATTTCTTAGAAGAATTTTATGAAAGTTTTATGAAAATTGTTAATAATTATAATTTTTTCTAACGAAATTTAGTATTTATTGAAGTAATTGAATTTATACGAAGAATTTTATTAAAATTTTGAAAAATAATTATTTTATTATTTGTAAATAATTGAATTCCTGTACAATTTTGTATTATTTCTGAAAATAATTGAATTTCTGCAAAGAATTTTGATGGAAGTTTTATGACAAATGGAAATAATAATTATTCATGAAAATAATGATGTCATTGAGAAGAAATTTATAATAAATTTGTATAGAATTAAATTCTTGAGAAATTTTTATTATTTATGAAAAAGAATGAATAATTTAAAATAATTGAATGTTTGCGTATAGTTTTATGAAATTTCTTTTTAAATAATTGAATTATTTTGTGAAATTTTATTGAAATAGTAGATATTAAAAGTCATTGAATTGAGAAAAATTATTGAAATTAATTTAATTCTGCGAAGAATTTTATTAAAATTATTGTAAACGCAACTCTTTTAAAATTGAATTAATTTTGAAATATTTAAGTAAAATTAGATTTCAAAAATAAGCACAATAACTTTAAAAAATAATAATTTTCCAGGATTCCGATCAAAATTCCCTGACAAATTTCAGGTTACGTGGTAACCCTGATTCAACAAAAAGTGGATTTTTATTTTTTAAATAACAATCCCAATGAATTATGATTCAGAAAATACTTTTTTTTTTATTATTTCTCGACAAATAATGTTTCCCAATCAACATATTACAAAGTAACATTGAATATAGGTAACGTATATTTCTCGTACAGTGACTAGGTCTGTCTGTCATATATTTAATCGGCAACAATTGTATAGAAAAATACAATCTCGCTTCATTTTTATAGAGAAATATTATTTCACTTTCTCTAAAATTGTGCGCAGATCGTTATTATAGATATTTCTTTTTCTTCTTCTTTTTTATCCCTTCTTCGATTATTATTATTCTAGAAAATGACAACTACACGACGATAAATACAAATAATGCCACAATTTCACTTGAATTACCTTATCAACTAGTTTTTTTTCCTTATTTGTTTGTTTGTTTGTTTTCTTTTTCTTATAAGAATACGTATAAAGTTTTATACAATTAATAATAAATTTCGTTGCATAAAAATTGCATCGATGTTTTGTAATTCTGATGGACATGGGTCAACAGTTTATTGTCAGGTAAAATTGCACATTGCAAATCTCTGCGTACATTGCCAACAAGAAACAATGATTTTATATTGGATTATGAAATAATAGGAATTAAATTAATTAATTTCATTTAGAAGAGAGAAAATTATGCGAAAAGATTATTGAGATTTTATAAAATTAGAAGCAGAATAATTGATAAATTAATATATTAATTAATATATTGGCGTTGAGTTTAGTGTCAAAATTGTTAAATTTTTGAAAGTTTTGTCATCTTTTGTAAATATAACTCATTATTAATATTTCATTATATTATTAATGTATTATTATGAAATTAATTTCGTTTTTAAAAATTTTATTCGAGAGCAAAAATTTATGCAATTTTTAAACTGATTTTGAAAACTAAAAAAATTTACTATTGTAAACTGATTTTAAAAATGAGAGTGAACTGATTTTGAAATTGACATTAAACTGATTTTGAAACTGATAGAAAACAGATTTTTTGAAAATGAAAAGAAGAAGCAAAATTACAAAAATTAACTGCAATTTAGGGTCAAATTATTATTGGAAAAAGTAGGTGACATCATATTTCTTGATGGCATGTATATATAGATATATAACCAAGGCAATGATTGAGGTACGAAAATTAATGTCACTTAACATTTATAAGGTCGAGTGAATTAAAGTGCATAAACTAGTCAACCTTCTCAAATACGTATCTCGACAATTTATCAAATAATTCTATTTTTCATCGAGTGATATGACGCTTAGATTTGTTTCTCTTTTTTATATAATGTGTTTATATATATAAATCTAGAGACAGAATTCTTTAACAGAGATCCACGGAAAGTTTACTTCTAACTCGCCTAACTCATCTATCAGAATGAACTAATAAATTTATTTATTCCAAACTTTCATCTAAATGAATGAGAGTTATGTAGATGAGTAAGGCACGCGAAAGTCTTCTCTTTTCTTTTTATTATTCACCTTTGTTTTCGTGTTCCAGTTTTTCTTCTTTTTCTTCTTCATCTTCTTTTTCTCATTGCTCATAATAGACTCTTCAATTAACAGAGAGTCTCTTTTCGTATATGACCGGTCATTTTTGTAAAAAAAATTATATCCGCTATAAAGTTATTATTTTTCAGTAATCACACCTTCCCAAGCGTCATCGCGTTGCTTATTCGCCAATTTTTTCTTTTCTGCAAAAATTCCCAACAGTAAAAAAAAATTCTACGAAAATAGAAAAGAAGTAAAATAGAAAAATTTGAATAAAAATAGAGACAAAATAGAAAAATATACCTAAATAAAAAAATATAAAAGAATAGAAAAAGTGACTAAAATTAGAAAAATAAATATATAAATTTTTATTTAAGAAAAATTTTATTTATTATAGAAAAAATAAAATTTTTCTTAAATGAGTTTGTTTAAAATATAAAAGAATGACACATATATAATGTGACAAGTATTATATTACCTTTGGCTTCACGCAAAACGATTTTTTCACGTTCACGTTCTTGTCTGGCGGTTGCTAATTTAACACCTAGAGCTCCGGTGACTAAACGCCTCGCTAAAGCGGCGCACGTCTCGGGACGATTTCTATAAGGCTGTAAAAATTCCGAGCCCCTTCTTGCTTTTGTTTTACTGAGTGCAGTGGCCTCACTGAGAGGTCGAGTTTTTACAACTGGATGATCAGATGCCAATACCTCCGCCGCTAAAAGAACAAAATAAAATACAAACCGCATTCCAAAGTCAAAATCATTATTCTTAGCTGTAACATATTATGTATCACACTTTCTATTACTTTCAAATATTTCCTTTTTTATTGATAACATTAAAAAAATTTTCATCTATTTATAAATTATTATTCTCCTGAGGAAAAATAATCATCAAATTTTATAAGGTATTTTTCCATTAAAAATTTAAATTCCATTAATAAATTTTCAATGGAATTAAATTCGCTTCAAATTAGCTTTTAATTCTCATAAAAAATTTTCCTAAACTTTTGAACGTTCAAATGAAGGAAATTTTTTCAAAAAGCGAAATTTTAATGTAAGAAATTCTAATTTAAAAAATAAAACTTCTATACAATTACATAATTTTTATTGAAATTTAGAAAAATAAATTAAAAATTATTAAAAATTACTAAAAAAAAAATTAACAAAATTGGAGTTTTCAACGTTTATGATCAACATTTTAAAGAGAAAAAATACTTGAAAAACAATAGAATTGTTTGCTTACAAAATTTTTTTTTTCAAATTATTGATCAAAAAATTAAATAAAATATTTTATAAGCATAAATTTATGGAAATTTTAGTAGAAAAATATTTACTTTCCAATCGGTTGATTATAAACGTTGCAAACTTCACCAGTGTAAAAGTAAAAATTATTGAAAAAATTACTGAAAGTTGTAAATTACTTCATTAAAGATAATTAAAAAAATTAAGTAAAATATAATGAATAATAAATTAGATATATAAAAGATGATAAATAATAAATTAGAAACAAAAGACAATAAATAATAAATTAGAAATAAGAGATAATATTATAAGCAAAAATAAAGACAATACTTTCTGGGAAATTAATAAAAATCAAAAAAATCTCATGGAAAAATGAAGAGGCATTTTTTCACATAATACAGTTAAAAGGAGACTAGAATCATTACATAATCGGTCGTCGATGGAAAGTTATGAAGGAAGGCCTACTTAAAAACCTTCTGTACTACTTTTAACCTTGACCTACAGAATACTGTTAAGTAATCCGAAAACTGTAATCTCATTTTAATTTCGAATTTTAATATTGAATGAATTAGGAAAAAATAATTATCATTTGAAAGAATTGGTAATCATTTGTTAACTTTAAAATTCGTATTACAAAATGTAAAAGAAAGTTCTCAAAGATAAATTCATTAAATTTTAATTCTATTTTATTTTCTCGTGTTAATTAATTTGATTTTCCTTTTTTAAGTTAATTATTTACTTTTTTAGTTAATGAATTTGAATTTACTTTTTGAATTTATTTTCTGCAAGTTAATTAACATTGGAAATTATTACTGATAATTAACTAATTTAGAACTATTTTTATTACATTATAAATTAATAGACCGTATGATTGGTATTTGAACGAACTTTCTGTTTTTACCGTACATCAATTTATTATTGAATTAAAATAAAATGAACAGATTTTAATAAAATAATACATAAAAATTCTGAACGTTCAAGAAATTATTTTTTCTTTTGCAAATATTTTTAGAAGTTTCTGACTCAAAGACAAAAAGGAAAATTGAACAATTTAAAACTTTACAAATTACTTTTAATATTTGTCGCAATTTTATAATATAATTTAAATTAGTTTCAAAGAAAGAAGTTGCAATTAAAATTAATTTACATTAAATTAATTTAATATTTGTATTTAATAAAATTTAAATTAGGTTTTTATGAATTTAAAAATCAATTTCTTCTTCGTCAAAAAAAAAAAAAAAAAAAAAAAATGCGAAATTGTATCTTACCAACGAGGGGACTGCTAAAAACGCCCAAACAATGGGTATCGTCAACCCATTTTAATTCAAAGCCACCACTTTTGAATGGACTGAAAACCGCCACCAAGTCGCAGGTTTTAAAGTTCGAGGGAAAATTGTAAATTTCAAGAACGTGCGCATATTCATCGCTTGAGACCTCAATAGTCTTGGTATACGTTTTATAACTGTTCTTCGGTTGCTCGATTGTAACTTCACCAACTGCCGTTGTAAGCTGAGAAAAAATTATGAATACTTAGTAATTTATAAACATAACTTATCTTCAGGAGTTTTTTCTCCTTATTTTGCAAAATTAATTTATATTCGAATATTTGGAGAAAAAGAATTAATTTCTAACAATTTAATTCTATTTTTTAATAAACAAAACCTGTTTATAAATAAATAAATAAATTTTCATCGTTGATTTGAACGTTCAGAACGTTAAGGACATAAAAAGAATAAATTTCTACCAATTTTTAACAATTAATTCAGGGTTGCCACAGGTCAGGGAAATCAAGGAATTTAAGGAAAGTAGAATTATTCAAAGAAAAGTCAGGGATTTTTATTAAAAGTACTGGAAAAAATTAAATCTTTAGAATTAATAAGAAAATTCTGAATTTTTGTGTCTTTATACATTGCAAAATTCTTCGCCGAAATTCAATTATATTTAGTAATTTTAATAGAATTCATTGAAAAATTCAATTTTTTTCATAAATAACAATATTCATCACAAGAATTCAATTATTTTCAAAATTAATAAAATTCTTCGAAAAAATTCAATTATTTTCAAAAAATCGTCAACATTTTAATTATCTTTATGAATGAATAGCAAAATTCTTCGACAAAATTCAATTATTTTCATAAATAAATAATAGTATTTTTAACAAGAATTTAATTATTTTCAAAAGTAATAAAATTCATGTCAAAATTACAATTATTCTAAAAAAATTTTCTTAATTCAATGATTTTCAATATTCTACTATTTTAATCAAATTTCCTAAAAGAATTCGATTATTAAGCAAAAATTTTGATAAAATTCTACACGAATATTCAATTATTTAAAAAAAAAATAAAAATTTTACAGGAATTCAAGTATTAAAAATAGAATTTGCATGAACTTTTTCTATAAAATTCTTGACAATAATTCAATTATTTTTATAAATAATAAAACTTATTGCAGAATTTTAATTATTTTTAATACAATTTTAATCGAATTTCTTGGAAAAGGAAATTATTCTTAAAAATTTTATTAAAATTCATCGAAAGAATTCAATTTTAAGAAACATTCAATTATTCAATAAATTATCTATGTTTGTATTTAAATAATTGAATTCTCGTAGAATTTTCTAATAAAAATTGATTTAAAAATTAATTTCAGTTAAAGTTTTAAATAATAATTGAATTTTTGAGAATTTACTAATAATTGTAATTTTTAGAAATAATTGAATTTTGTAAAGGTTTCAAATTAAAATCTTTGAGAATCTGAATTTTTTATACTTTTTTTTAATTAAAAATTCTATGGAACTAATTTTTCTCAAAAAGATTAAACGAAATTTTTGAAAATTATTTCAAGTTTTTAATTTCTAATGTATTAAATTTAATAATTTACGAATAAATCCGAATTTCACGTAAAATTGAATTCTAAAGAAATGGATTTGGAAAATTTCAAATAAAAACTCTTTCAAAAATTATTAAAAATAATTGATTTAATGAAGAATTTTATTTAAAAATTGTAGAAAATAATAATTGAATTGAAGTTTCAATACTGAAACTCCTTCAAAATTATTTTCATCAATAAATATTCTTATAATATAAAATATTGATTTTAACAGTCGATCATCTTTAATTATTATAAAACATGAAGAAATCGAGCACTTCGAGTCGAAGACTCGGAGTGATCAATTTCTTCATGTTTTACAATATTATTTTTATCAGTTATTGAATTTCAAAAGATTTAAATTTGAAATTTTTGAAAATGAAAAAATATCAGTGATTAAATATTTATTTATAAAATCAAGTCATTGGTATTTTTGAATAATTTTGCAATTATGGTAATTCGTAAATAAATGTAATAGAACATTTTTTTGAGCATCTAATAATTTTTAGAGTGAATCAGAATATTCTTTAGGGGCAGGGAAAAAAATGAAAATCAGTCAGGAAAAAGTCAGAGGAAAACAAAATTAAATTTTTGTTGCAAAATTAATTTTTTGTCTGCAATTCTAAAAATTCAATTTTCTAATAAAAACAAAGAACTTAAAGATTTACAAAGATGGAAATTTTACCTGAAAAATTGAATTTTCTAATAAAGAAAAAAAACTTACTTCATTAATGAGACTTGGATCCAAACAATCGCCATTGTCATCAAAAAGACTATCCCAATCCAATTCGTCCCTATCAGCTTTAATAGAAGGTGAAGGTGGCGCGGCAGGTTTACTTTTCGGCCTCTCAATTTTCTTCACTTTCTTCTTCTCTGGCGGTGTAATTGGAGTAACAGAAACCTCTTCCTTAACAGCCTCCTCTCTATTTCTATCATCAGTAATAATGATAACATCAGATTTCGAATTATTGCTAATTATTCTTTTATTCTTCTGATTAACAACAATGTCACGTCGAGAAGCATCATCATCAACTTCCTGACGATTCGGCGACATTTCAATATCACAATTTTCTTCATTAGACTTGAACATTATAATTTCACTCATATTATTTCTATCTATTGTTAATGTTTCACTAGAGGAAATTTTTTTATTATTCTCATCCGTTGTTTTTATATCATTAATGAATTTAATTAATTTACTATCAGATGCAGATCTATTTGAATTATCATCTGTTTCTAGAATTAAACTACTCTCTGTTCTTGACGATTCATCTGTTTTGGAGGAATTTGTTGTACAATTACTCAAATTGGAAGACTCATCATTTTGAGAATTTGAAATAAGCTTTAAATTTGTTGTTGTCAAATCGGTCTCTTGATTTTCGATAAAATCAGAGGGGAAATTTTCTCCCTTCTCTGGATATTTTTCATTATTAATTGTTGAAATATTTGAAGAAGGCAATATTTTTTCTGTGAGAATTGAATCTTGCTCTTTGTGCTTGTCCAATCGACTCTTTTCCTGGCGCACTGGACTCTCTTCGACTTCTAAACTTCTTCTGTGTCTTGGCACGTAAACCGCGCGATCCGGTCGCTTCTGGCGAATTGTTCTGTAAAAATATTCAAAAATAATATTTTTTTCTCTTATAGAAGAAAATTATTATTATAAAGCGATCGGCGAAGTTTACAACATTTATAATCAACGATTTTTAAGGAAAAATATTTTATCTTCGAGTTTTTGTCAACAAAAATTTTTACAGTATCAGATTATTATTTTTTGCTTTCAAAACATTGTATACCTTCAAAAATATGAATTCATTTTATGAGAGTTTATTTTTTTCAAAAGAGGAAATTATTCAATCAAGAATCGAAAAATTAATATAACGGAAATTATAGAACCAGGAATTAATAAATTAAAATAACGGACTATTTTCACATTCCTGGTAAAAATATGTTATTATGTTTTTTTGTTTAAAAGTAATAGTTGATTTTCCTTACTTAGTAGAGGCACAGGAATCTGCTACTGGCTGATTGGTCGTTGACTCGGAAATTACAGGTTCGTTTCTTTTTCTCCTAGCAGCTGGCGGTCTATAAATCTCCACTGTGGGAACTGTTTTTACTAAAACGACACATAAAAAAAGACACACTGATTTCTCACGTTTTCAAACTGATAACAAAAAAATGTCAATTTTTCAATCACACACCTCTTTGTTTTTGAACGCTGAATTCCTGAGTCGACGAAAGTGAACACTGTTCTTGAACACCCATTGCACTCGCTTTTGGATCCCTTGGATTAAAATTCAAATTAAAAATCAAAATTTATTATTTTTCTTAAACATCAATAATTATTTTCCACTATTATTTAAATGATCAAGTAAATCAAATTTTACTCTGGCATCTAAAGTTTCATCGAGTGTGAGAATTTTTATTTTGTTAGAATTAATTTGATTTGATGAAAGATGAAAATGGAAATTAATGAACAAAAAGCAATGAATTTTCTATCTATCTCTCTTTCTTTCTTTTTGAAGATAGGAAACAAAATTAAAATTTTACGATTTTTGTAATTGAATTGAAAATTAATTGTGATTGAATTCGATCATTAATTCTAATTGGAATGTTTCTTCAGAGTAGTAGTTTTGATAAATTAGAAAGAAAATAGAAAGAATCTTGTTTTTTTTTCCTTTCTTTGAATTTCATTTCTTTAAACAAAAATAATTTCTTCTATCGCAAGGTGAAAAATTTGCAATGCACAAGACTCGTTTCTGCAAGGACTTGGTATTTTCACTTTTAATATATAAAGATTGTGCAATATATGCTTTAGAGATTACATTCAACGCAATGCATGACTTTCATTTAACACCACTTTTTATTCTTTATTACTATTTATATAATTAATATTCAAATGTTGGATCACTCACAATCAGTGGCAATTAATGATAAATACAGTAATGTTTGTAATAATTAATAAATAGAAGAAAAATAATAAATACAAAAAATAATAACAGAATTGCCACAAAAATTTAATTTTGTTTTTCCCTGACCCTAAAGAATATTTATTATTTCAAAACATGAAGATATCGATCACTCCGAGTCTTCGACTCGGAGTGCTCGATTTCTTCATGTTTTTTAATAATTAAAATTGACCGAGTGATAAAATCATTATTTTTATAATTATATGAATATTGTTACTGTAATTTTTTCAAAATTACTTTCGTCATTTCAATTAAATTATTATTTTCTAGAATTTTTAACTAAAATTCTGCTTTAAATCAATTATTTCTAATAATTTTTGAAAAAGTTCTTTAAAACTTCATTAATTTGAATACAAAAATAAATAATTAATTGAATAATTTAACGTTTATTAAAATTGAATTCTGACAAAGAATTTTATCAACAAATTTTTAAATAATTGAATTCTTTCGACGAATTTTACATCAATTTTTATTAGAAAATTCTGCAAGAATTCAATTATTTAAATACAGATTACATAATTTATTAAATAATTGAATAATTCTTAAAATTTAATTTTTATAAGTTATTTTATCAAAATTTTTGAAAATAATATTGATTTCTTTCAGAAAATTTTATTATAATTTTAAATGAATTAAAAATTATAATTTTACAAATTTTTCAAAAAATTTATTTAAAATTGTATTAAAAATAATTGAATTTCAGTAAAAAAAACTTTATTTTTTATGGACGTAATTGAAATCTTGCAAAGAATTTTATTAAAATTTTTGAGAATTAATTGAAATCTTGCGATCAATTTTATTATTTATGAAAATAATTTACTTTTTGGTAAAAATTTTGTTCAAGTTATTAAAAACAATTGAATTTCTTAGAAGAATTTTATAAAAGTTTAATGAAAATGGTTTACAATTGAATTTTTGGAAACGAAATTTAGAATTTATTAAATTAATTGAATTTTTGCGAAGAATTTTATTATAATTTTGAAAAATAATCGAATTTCTGAAAACAATTTAAACTTTATTATTTTTGAAAACAATTCAATTTCTGCCAAGAATTTTGATAAAAGTTTGATGAAATTCATTGAATAGAGGACAATTTTTGAAAATAATTGAAATTTTCACAAGTATTTATTATTTATTATTGAAAATGATTGAATTTTGGAAAAATATTTTATTAGTTTTCAAGATAATTGAAAATTTGTCGAGGATTTAAAAAAAAAATTTTAATAATTGAATTTTGGAGAAGAATTTTATAATTTACAAAGATAATTGAAATTTTGACAAGAATATTATTGAAATTTTTGAAAATAATTAAATGTTTGAGAAGAAAAATTTAAGTTTTTCCAGTACTTTTAATAAAAATCTCTGACATTTCCCTGACTAATTGTACTTTCCCTGAATTCCCTGACCTTTGACATCTCTGATAATAATTATAAAAAATAATAAACTACAAGAAATAATAAATACAAAAATATTGTAATTTCAAAGATTTAGAATTATTATGATTCATAAATAAAAATTACCAAATAAAAAAATAAGAAATAATTTATTGTAATTTTTATTTCTAAAATTCTAAAATCTCAATAGCCACAGGATCAGTTTTCTCCTAGAGTCATAATACTGCGTTTAATTACATTCATCAAGAGGACGAAGAACTTTTCCTATTCACATGGTTAATTTACTTCAATTGAGAATAAAACTGCAATTTAGAGAATCTTCAGAAAAAAATGAAAATAAATTCCAAAGAAATTAGTTTTTCTTTCTCTCTTGTAATTTACAAAAGAAGTGAAACTTTACTTTATCCCATTGTTCTCCGTCAAAAAAAAAATACAAAAATACAAAAAAAAGCGAAAATAAAATTAAATAATCTCACACAGGATGAATTTTTTAATAATGTATTTTTTTGTTCACTGATTCACCTTATCACATCGGATTTAAAGCATACGACAGTTCTCCTCGCGACGCCCTGCCCGATGGAAAATGTGTACAAAAGATTCGAATACCGATCTTGCACAAGTTGATGTATAAGAAATCGTCTATAGTTGTTCACCGGCGGAAACACCAGCACTCTGAAAGTGAAAAGAGTGATCTGATCGCGACTGAAAGTAAAACCAAACTGTAAGAGGTGAATGTAACTTAAAGCTTCGTCGTCACAATCGCAAATATCCCACCATTACTTATACTATATAAACATCGGCTAACTTTTACATAACATTATACTTTCTCTTTCATATCGTCTTCCTGGTCCTTCCTTTGTTTTTTTGCTAAAAAAAAAAAGTTTCGCAAAACTTCAAAATCGAAAAATCTCTACAATCTAATCGAAATATTTGGCAAAATAAAAAATTAAAAAAAAATGCCTACAATAATAATTTATTGGAAGAGAAAAATTTTTTTTCTACTAATACTTCTGACATTTACTCAATTTATGAAACGTAAAGAAAGGAATCACTCTGAAGAACAAAATTTGAAATTTCTAATTCAGCAGTTTATTTTTTTTAGTTATTTTTCTCAATTGAAATTAAAGTTTCCTCACTTCGTCAATAATTATCCAATCGTGGAAATGCTATTAATTTATTGTAATATCTAACTGCTAGTGCAGTTCATAATCTCGTATTATTAGATAACTTTCGATTTAAATCTAATCTATCTTATGCGAATTAATTGCTTGTGTAATAGTTAATATTATTATGCATAGTTACCAGCAGGTCAAAATTATTCGTTCATTCAACTCTGGTTAATTAGACTGAGTAAAAACAGTTGTTGCTGAATTTAAATTCTTTTTCACAGTTGAGAAATCTTCCTCTACATCTTTAATTGAATCAAAGAAATAAAATATGAAATTTAAAATATTTTTTTTATCAAAAACTTAACAGACAAAACTCATGCAAGCGAAACGAAAACTTTTGTTCACACTCTTGTTCACACTTTTTATTACATAAATCATAGTTTTCATAGAGAAAATAATCACGTTAACGAATTATTGATTTTATGTCAATTTATGTCAATTGAACTAAACGAAGTAAACCAAGAAAACCCTAGAAATACATGAAATACATGAAAATAGATTCAAGCTTAGAAGTACTTACTACTTTGAAAATAGAGCAAGATTTTAACAATGAAAGAACGTTCTTTGGTTTTTTGATAACAAAGGGATAAAATAAGGTTTGGAAATATTTGTTTAGTAGACAATAAACTGGAACTATTTCTAATGCTAAGGATAAAAATACAAAATTGCGATTCTATATAGGTTCTAAAGGAAAATGATTCTTGAAATGAATGTTAATTTTTAAGGTTACGTTAATGAAACTGAACATTGAAAATGATGTGAAATGTGTGATTGTACCTCTTTCTTGTTTCGTCCTTGGAGAAGTCTATTAAATCGTTCTCCACATCATCGGAGAAGTAACTATCTTGCAAACTCATTTATATTGATACGATTTCTTCTCAAATTTACACAGAAAAAGCAATAAATACACGAATTCCATCGGAACAGCATACAATATCCTTTATTGGTGTTGTATACGTGTACGTTATATCATAATAATAAAAGCGTAGGTGTATTATTACGCACACGAACGTAATGACATATGAAAGCAGTGTTGCCACACTAAAAACGACTGTGTGCCCCATCACACTTCTTTCTTTCTTTCTACTATTTTTTAACACTTTTTTTTCCTTTTTATTACACTTCATTACACTTTTTTTTATACCAAAATAAAAAAATTGTCGTATTTAATAACTTTTTACCTTCGAAAGGAAAAATTCGTGTTGTTTTTTTACATGCCCAAAATACGATTTCAATTTCCCACCGAAATTTTAGGAAATTTTTTTTTCACTACTGCCAACTTTTAAAGACTAAATAGAGAAAATCTCTAGACGTAACTAGCGTTTAAGTGTAATCAATTTACAGGTTATGTCGGGAATTTTATAAATCATGTAAAATTCACAACATAGCATTGTAAAAACAGTTTTTTAATTAGTATTTACCTTTAAAGTTATTATATTTAAATAATAAGGTATTTATGAATGGTTTTTAATTTATGACGAATGGCTAAACGAGTGAACTGAAAAAATTATAACCTCAAAATTCGACGACTGGATTTTAAATTTTTTATCAAATATAAAATATATAATTTTAAGGTTTGTTAATTTTGTCACAATTTTTACACATAGAAATAGTTGTTTCTAAATATTATATGGTAGTGATTGAAATTGTTAATTTAATATCGAAATTAAGGAAATTAGTCCTGGTATTCGGAGTACAAGGACTACAATGGAATGTTAAAACAAAAGATTGTTTTAGGACAACAATGTCATCCTCATCGCCTCCTAACTCCAAGGAGGACAGTAATGATAATGAAGATATGCGATTTTTACAAGACATTATGGTTTTTACGGACTCGAGTGGTTCGAATTCAGTTTCTAGCAGCGAAAGTGAAGACGCTCATGGCCTAAAGGTCCTTTGTGTTGGCTTATGTCGCACTGATATTATTCAAGTTTGTAAAGGCTTTCCTAAAGAATGTTCCGAATTAGAGTGAGTTATTTCGGTACTTAATAATTAATTTAATTAAATTAAATTAAGTTTGGGAGTAAAATATAAATTTTTTCAGGTGTGTTGATATAAGATGGGAAAGGGGAGGTAATGCATCGAATACGTGCACAGTTCTTGCTCAATTCGATACTCCAGTTGAATTTCTAGGTACTCTTTCTAATCAACAACCCGGGCTAAAAAGTCTAATACAAGATATGGATGAACATAAAATTCGCCACGATCATTGTCCCTTTAAACCAAACACAACATGTCCCACATCCTCAATTGTAATAAATTCAAACAATTTAACTCGTACAAGATGGAATTATAATCCTGATCTACCTGAATTAACTGCCTCTGAATTCAAAGCACTTCGTTTAGAAGATTACAGTTGGATCCATTTTGAAGTAATTCATGAATTTTATTTTATTTCTAACAATTAACAACACATCATTCATCATATTTATTATCATTAACTATAATATTAAATTACTAATTTTTATTATCATTAACTATAATATTAAATTACTAATTTTTATTATAAATTATAAAAAAATAATTAAAGAAAGTAAAACTCTGTAGAAATTTAAAAAAAAAAATGAGGAAAAATGTTGAAATTTATGTATTTAATGTTACAGGGACGAAATGTTGACAATGTTCTAGAAATGATGCAAATAGTTCACAAACGAAACGTATTGATAAGGTCCAAAGGATTTAGAACACCATATTATCCGATTGTCATTAGTCTCGAATTAAATAAAAATCGTGAAGGAATATTTAAATTGCTTCCATATGTGGATGTAATATTTGTTGGAGAGAATTTCATGACACCGGATCAATCGAAAAATATGACCAAAACGTTGGAGTATGTTTGTCAAGCTCATCAAAAACCAGGGTAAATATATTTGGTACAAAACTTGATTTTCGGTTGCCATAGGTCTAAGAAGTCAGGGATTTTTATTAGAAATTTTGGAAAAGAATTAAATTTTTAGAATTCATAAAAAAATTCCAAATTTTTGTGTCTTCTTTGTTTGCCTCATAAACTATGAAATTACCACGAATTCTTATACAAAACCTTAAATTTTCTCTATTTCTCACAACAATTTCCTTTTAAATAACTTCATTCTTGAAGAACTATCATAAAATTATTTCTTAGAAATTATTTAATGAATAATTTTACTTAAACATTTCAAAATTAATTGAATTTTAACAGAGTTAGGATTACAATTTTTATAAATGAATGAACTTCAAAAGATTTTAATTTGAAATTATATAAAATTTCAATTCAAATTTTTCTAAAATTAGTTAATTTTTTCAATATTTATTTAACTAATTATTAAAAATAATGGATTTACAGAAGAATTTTAGGTAAAAACACTAAATAAATTGAATTTTGGAAAAATTACAAATGATTGCAGAAATTCAATTATTTTTAAAAGTAGGTAATAAAATTCTTCTCAAAAATTCAATTATGTTCAAACATACATTATAATAATCGTAAGTTTCCTTTCCGTTAACAAATTATCTGCATTCATTTGTTTGTTTTGAAAATTAAATTTTGTGGGTTAAGTATTGGCATTTTTTATATATTTTTTAATGTTAAACTTTTTAATGTGGAGAATACTTTACTTATTAAATTGTCTCGACTCTTTGGTAAAAAATCTAAAATTATCGAAAATTCGAAAAAATTCATAAATCCCATTTTCTTAAAATTCAACATTTTTTCTTCTCTTTTATGGGATTTAGCTTCATTATTTTTGTGCTTTTGGAAAAAACTTTACTTATTAAATTGTCTCGACTCTTTGGTAAAAAATCTAGAATTATCAAAAATTATCAAAAATTCAAAAATCCGAATTTCTTAAAATTCAACATTTTTTCCTCTCTTTTATGGGATTTAGTTTTATTATTTTTGTGCTATTGGAAAATACTCTATTTATTTAAAAGTCTCGACTCTTTGGTAAAAAATCTAAAATTATCAAAAATTCGAAAAAATTCAAAAATCCGATTTTCTTAAAATTCAACATTTTTTCATCTCTTTTATGGGATTTAGCTTCATTATTTTTGTGCTTTTGGAAAATACTTTACTTATTAAATTGTCTCGACTCTTTGGTAAAAAATCTAAAATTATCGAAAATTATCAAAAATTCAAAAATCCGAATTTCTTAAAATTCAACATTTTTTCTTTTTTTTTATGGGGTTTAGTTTTATTATTTTTGTGCTTTTGGAAAATACTTTACTTATTAAATTGTCTCGACTCTTTGGTAAAAAATCTAAAATTATCAAAATTCGAAAAAATTCATAAATCCCATTTTCTTAAAATTCACCATTTTTTCTTCTCTTTTATGGGATTTAGCTTCATTATTTTTGTGCTTTTGGAAAATACTTTACTTATTAAATTGTCTCGACTCTTTGGTAAAAAATCTAAAATTATCAAAAATTCGAAAAAATTCAAAAATCCGATTTCCTTAAAATTCAACATTTTTTCTTCTCTTTTATGGAATTTAGCTTCATTATTTTTGTGCTTTTGGAAAATACTTTACTTATTAAATTGTCTCGACTCTTTGGTAAAAAATCTAAAATTATCAAAATTCGAAAAAATTCATAAATCCCATTTTCTTAAAATTCACCATTTTTTCTTCTCTTTTATGGGATTTAGCTTCATTATTTTTGTGCTTTTGGAAAATACTTTACTTATTAAATTGTCTCGACTCTTTGGTAAAAAATCTAAAATTATCAAAAATTCGAAAAAATTCAAAAATCCGATTTCCTTAAAATTCAACATTTTTTCTTCTCTTTTATGGAATTTAGCTTCATTATTTTTGTGCTTTTGGAAAATACTTTACTTATTAAATTGTCTCGACTCTTTGGTAAAAAATCTAAAATTATCAAAAATTCGAAAAAATTCATAAATCCCATTTTCTTAAAATTCAACATTTTTTCCTCTCTTTTATGGGATTTAGTTTTATTATTTTTGTGCTCTTGGAAAATACTCTATTTATTTAAAAGTCTCGACTCTTTGGTAAAAAATCTAAAATTATAAAAAATTCGAAAAAATTCAAAAATCCGATATTCTTAAAATTCAACATTTCTTCTTCTCTTTTATGGGATTTAGCTTCATTATTTTTGTGCTTTTGGAAAATACTTTACTTATTAAATTGTCGCGAATCTTTGGTAAAAAATCTAAAATTATCGAAAATTATCAAAAATTCAAAAATCCGAATTTCTTAAAATTCAACATTTTTTCTTCTCTTTTATGGAATTTAGCTTCATTATTTTTGTGCTTTTGGAAAATACTTTACTTATTAAATTGTCTCGACTCTTTGGTAAAAAATCTAAAATTATCAAAATTCGAAAAAATTCATAAATCCCATTTTCTTAAAATTCACCATTTTTTCTTCTCTTTTATGGGATTTAGCTTCATTATTTTTGTGCTTTTGGAAAATACTTTACTTATTAAATTGTCTCGACTCTTTGGTAAAAAATCTAAAATTATCAAAAATTCGAAAAAATTCATAAATCCCATTTTCTTAAAATTCACCATTTTTTCTTCTCTTTTATGGGATTTAGCTTCATTATTTTTGTGCTTTTGGAAAATACTTTACTTATTAAATTGTCTCGACTCTTTGGTAAAAAATCTAAAATTATCAAAAATTCGAAAAAATTCAAAAATCCGATTTCCTTAAAATTCAACATTTTTTCTTCTCTTTTATGGAATTTAGCTTCATTATTTTTGTGCTTTTGGAAAATACTTTACTTATTAAATTGTCTCGACTCTTTGGTAAAAAATCTAAAATTATCAAAATTCGAAAAAATTCATAAATCCCATTTTCTTAAAATTCACCATTTTTTCTTCTCTTTTATGGGATTTAGCTTCATTATTTTTGTGCTTTTGGAAAATACTTTACTTATTAAATTGTCTCGACTCTTTGGTAAAAAATCTAAAATTATCAAAAATTCGAAAAAATTCAAAAATCCGATTTCCTTAAAATTCAACATTTTTTCTTCTCTTTTATGGAATTTAGCTTCATTATTTTTGTGCTTTTGGAAAATACTTTACTTATTAAATTGTCTCGACTCTTTGGTAAAAAATCTAAAATTATCAAAAATTCGAAAAAATTCATAAATCCCATTTTCTTAAAATTCAACATTTTTTCCTCTCTTTTATGGGATTTAGTTTTATTATTTTTGTGCTCTTGGAAAATACTCTATTTATTTAAAAGTCTCGACTCTTTGGTAAAAAATCTAAAATTATAAAAAATTCGAAAAAATTCAAAAATCCGATATTCTTAAAATTCAACATTTCTTCTTCTCTTTTATGGGATTTAGCTTCATTATTTTTGTGCTTTTGGAAAATACTTTACTTATTAAATTGTCGCGAATCTTTGGTAAAAAATCTAAAATTATCGAAAATTATCAAAAATTCAAAAATCCGAATTTCTTAAAATTCAACATTTTTTCTTCTCTTTTATGGAATTTAGCTTCATTATTTTTGTGCTTTTGGAAAATACTTTACTTATTAAATTGTCTCGACTCTTTGGTAAAAAATCTAAAATTATCAAAAATTCGAAAAAATTCAAAAATCCGATTTCCTTAAAATTCAACATTTTCTCTTCTCTTTTATGGGATTGAGCTTCATTATTTTTGTGCTTTTGGAAAATACTTTACTTATTAAATTGTTTCGACTCTTTGGTAAAAAATCTAAAATTATCAAAAAATCAAAAATCCGATTTTCTTAAAATTCAACATTTTTTCTTCTCTTTTATGGGATTTAGCTTCATTATTTTTGTGCTTTTGGAAAATACTTTACTTATTAAATTGTCTCGACTCTTTGGTAAAAAATCTAAAATTATCAAAAATTCGAAAATATTCAAAAATCCGATTTTCTTAAAATTCAACATTTTCTCTTCTCTTTTATGGGATTTAGCTTCATTATTTTTGTGCTTTTGAAGAATACTTTACTTATTAAATTGTCTCGACTCTTTGGTAAAAAATCTAAAATTATCAAAAATTATCAAAAATTCAAAAATCCGAATTTCTTAAAATTCAACATTTTTTCGTCTCTTTTATGGAATTTAGCTTTATTATTTTTGTGCTTTTGGAAAATACTTTACTTATTAAATTGTCTCGACTCTTTGGTAAAAAATCTAAAATTATCAAAAATTCGAAAAAATTCAAGAATCCGATTTCCTTAAAATTCAACATTTTCTCTTCTCCTTTATGGAATTTAGCTTCATTATTTTTGTGCTTTTGGAAAATACTTTACTTATTAAATTGTCTCGACTCTTTGGTAAAAAATCAAAAATATTTTTAAAAATTATCAAAAATCCGAAAAATCGAATTTCTTAAAATTCAACATTTTTTCTTCTCTTTTATGCCATTTAGCTTTATTATTATTTAAATTTTTATTCAAGAGAAAAAATGGAAAACTGAAAAAATTAGAAACTTTAAAAAATTCCAGGCCTTTTCCATGATTTCCCTGATTTCCAGAAGCCTTTTAAAAATTCCATACCATTTCCATAATTTCCAGATTCTGTAGGAACCCTGCTTTTGTCTGATTTTCTTCTAAATTATCGAATTCAGTGATTTCTGGGGTGAATTTGGTTAAGTTTTAAAATGCTTAATTTCTATTTGAATTCGTTTTTTTTTAATTTAGAAAATCTGATGTTAATTTAATTATTTTTTCGTTATGCACGGCAAAAAATATTTAGCTGGATGAACTACAGATTTCACTTTAGTAGCGAAATTTTTCAGTGCTTCAATTAATACTTTCGTTATTCTAGAGAAACTTATCGCTATTTCAAGTAAAACTTTTTTCAGTGTGTAATAATTATTATTTCTTTAAAAAGTATTTAATTTAAAATGGCTTTATAAAATAAGCAGTGCAAAAGATGACCCAGATATACTAATTGTAATTGTTCTACCCATAGTTTAAGTCTAGTAATGTAAATTCTATTTAAATTGAGACCATTGAGTGACATTATTTGAATTTTAGTTAGTTAAATCTCTTTGTTAGGTTATAATAATTATTTCTTTAAAATTTTTTAAATTGTTTAAAATAAGCAGCCCCATACAACATTCCCGCGCGGATTGTTTGGCTAGTTTAAAATAATTCTCGTTAATTTTAATAAAATTTTTGAAAAAATTTCAATTTTCTTTGTAAAGAATAAAATTTTTCTCAGAAATTCAATTATTTTCAAAAAAATTTTTTAAATTCTCGTCATAATTTCAATTTTTTTAATAAATAATAAAATTCTTTTTCGAAATTCAATTATTTTCAAATATTTAAAAAAATTCTCGTCAAACTTTCAAGTATCTGTATAAATAATAAGATTCTTCTCCAAAATTAAATTATTTTCAAAAGTATTAATAAGATTTTTGACAAAATTTCCATTATCTTTGTAAATTATAAAATTCTTCTACAAAATTGAATTATTTTACAAATTTTTTAAAAATTCTCTTCAAAATTTCAATTATCTTTATAAATAAGAAAATTCTTCTTCAAAATTCAATTATTTTCAAAAATTTTAATAAGATTCTTGGCAAAATTTCAATTATCTTCGGTAAATAATAAAATTCTTCTCCAAAATTCAATTATTCTCAAAAATGTTAATAAAATTCTTAAAATTATAATAAAATTTTCAAAAATGTTAAAAAATTCTTGTCAAAATTTCAATCATCTTTATAAATAAAATGCTTCTTCGAAATTCAATTATTTTCCAAAATTTTAATAAAATTCTTAAAATTACAATAAAATTTTTATAAATTTTAAAAAATTCTCGTCAAAATTTCAATTATTAATATAAATAATAAAATTTTTCTTCAAAATTCAATTATTCTCAAAAATTTTAATAAAATTCTTAAAATTACAATAAAAAATTAAAAAAATTCTTGTCAAAATTTCAATTATTTTTATAAATAATAAAATTCTTCTCCGAAATTCAATTATACACTCAAAAATTCTAGGCAAACATTTCATTATTTTCATGTAAATAATAAAAATTTCACGGGAATTCAATTATTTACAATTTTTTCTATAAATTTCTTCGCAATAATTTAATTATTTTCATAAATAATAAATTTTTTTGCAGGAATTCAATTATTTTCATAAATAGTCATTGGTATTTTTGAATAATTTTGCAATTAAGGAAATTCGTAAATAAATGTAATAGAACATTTTTTTTTAGCATTTAATAACTTTTAGAGTGAATCAGAATGTTATTTAGGGTCAGGGAAAAAGTGAAAATGTCTGGAAATCAGGGAAAAGTCAGGGAAAAACAAAATTAAATTTTTGTTGCAACCCTGCAATTCTAAAAAATTCAATTTTCTAATAAAAAAAGAGCTTAAAGATTTACAAAGATGGAAATTTTACCTGAAAAGAAATTCGTTTTTTAAAAACGTTGTATTCGTTGCCACAAATTATAAAATTATAAAAATTATAATTCATGTGAATTAGAATTTAGATTTTGTAGTTTTAAATTTTAATTATATGGAAATAGTGAACAATTCTGTCTGAAAATCAGAGAAAAGTCAAGGAAATACAAAAGTAAATTTTTATTGTAACCTTGTAGTAGATGTGAGCAAAGCTTGCATACATATATTAAATAATGTGAATTGTTTTTTTAATTTAATCAATCATTTTTATAATAATTTTTTCTTTTTTCTCTTTAGGGTAATAATTGTATGTTCACGTGACGAACGCGGAGCATTAGGCCGCGCTCCAAATGGAGAATTTACTCAATGTCCAGCACAACAATCCACAAAAATTGTGGACATCTACGGCACAAGTGATACATTTAATGCAGCGATGATTTATTTTCTAAATCAGGAAAATATAAGCAGTAGAAATGGTTGGCGGCCAATAAGTATGGTACCAGTTGATTTCGATAAAGAAAGTCCACTCGAATTTATCTGTCCTGACATATTGTATCAAGCACTTGTTTTTGCATGTCGTGCGTCAGGTGCTAAAATGGGTTTCAAAGGTTTCGCCCCATTAAGAAACGTTTACAAGGGTCTTACAGTTCATCAAGAAATAAAGTTGTGATAATTTTCCAACCCCGAGGTTATAAGGTAAAAGAACCTTTTTTTTAAAGAAGAGAGAATGAGAAACGAAAGAATGCTTATTTTTATTTTATTATATTTCACTTTGTTTTTTTTGACAAGTTTACGAAGATTATTTTATAACCTCGGAGAATTGTGTATTAGTAAAAAAAAAAATGATAATTGCAAAGTACTGATGAGATCATAGATCAAGAGAGATCAAAGAATGATGATAGTATTAATGACACATAGGTGATTCAGTTTCTTTTTTTTAATAATATTTACCTTAAAGACTTTAACAAAGTTCAATGATTGTTCATTGATAGTTTGCAATTATTTACAATGCATTTTTGATATTGATATATAAACATTTATAGTCCGCTAACTAAGTCAATGCCTTTATTGAACAACGTTCATAGCTTTTTATTTAATTTTGGATACAACGCTTTTTTTTTAATAATAATCACGTAGATTACAATATATATTTTTTTACGATAACTCTCGCGCCTTCGTTTAAAATGATTTCCGAGCGAGTAAACTAAAGTGATTTTATATTCGCTTTTGAAGTCGAATCTGTTATTTATAATATATAATAATTCGACTTAAATTAAGTCATCGATCGAATATAAAATGACTATTTTGTACAAATGAAATCTTCACGTCTCTATATGAATACTATGTATTCCAATTTTAAGCAGGCTGAAAAAGAAACGTTGTCCAAAAGTCGTTTCTTTTAATATTTCGAAAACACAAAAAAACAATGAATTAGAAATGTAAAAATAATTTTTTTTCTTACAAAATAAGTATATAGACTTTTTTTTTTATTCTCAATTTTCGAATACCTACGAATTTTTTTAAATAGATAACAAAATATTTATATGCGACACTTTAGATTCATTTTTTCGTAAATATTTTATAGTCGAAGACTAAATAAATACTCTTTCAATGATTTGAAAAAAAATTCTTTGATTTATTATACACTTAAATTATTTATCATTAACATGATCATTCGTCCTTCATTTAAATTTCCACTATTCGTGATATAAAATTATTGTTATAAAATTTATATGATTAAAGGCACAAACTCCTGGTGGCATTAAATTTTAAATTAATAATAAAAATATTGCACATAGTTTTTATGTAAATTTTTTTAAAAAGATGAAAAAATGGCATTAACTTTCAAGCTTATTAAAGTATAAAACTTTCGTAATGAACACTCATGCAGTCATTCGTTTCCTTTACTGAAGATTATTGAGGAAAAATATTTTTACACGGTATGAAAAATGTTTTGTTTTTGTAATATTATGCAGTGTGAGTAATTTTTGTTGAAATTTAAATCGAAATGATTTTAGTATTCTAATATCGACATTAATCCTTGTTTTTAATTAATCTTCAACGCTTATGAAGAAACACATTATGTACAAGTAGACAACATTCAAGAGTAAATTATCTTTGATTAGAGACTATTTGTCAAAAATTATTAATATTATTCTATCAGTCTACTTCAAGGCCACTGTCGACAAAATCCATTATTTGAAATGCCGCCTTATAAGGTAAACACCTAGAAAAGAAAATTTATTTTTAAGTTTTTTTTTTGTGGTTGCATTTTTCAAAAATAGTTGGAAAAAAGGAATTTTTTTTAAAGTCGAAAAATACAAAATCAGGTTTGCCACGAAAATTTTATTTTATTTTTCCCTGATTTCCAGACAAAATTTTGACTTTCTCCCTGACCCTGAAGAATATATCGATTCACTCCAAAAATTATTAGATACTCAAAGAAATGTTCTATTACATTTATATTTACGAATTTCTTTAAGTGTAAAATTATTCGACAACATCAATAACTTCTTTTTTTAAATAAATACTTAATCATTATTATTTTTCTGTAGGAATTAAGGATTTCAAATCAAAACCTTCTGAAATTAAATAACTTATAAAAAATTATTATAAAACATAAAGAATCGATTTCTTCACGTTTTATAATAAAATTTAAAATAACAGAGTGATAAAATCATTATTTTATATTATAAGAATATTGCAACTATAAATTTAAATTTTCAAAGATTTTAATTTTCGAACCCTTTTTAAAATTTACTTATTTATAAAAATTCACGATATAATGCTTTTAATATTAAATTATAATTTAAAATTTTAAGTGAAATTCATTTTTAATCAATTTTTATTAGAAAATTTTTCGAGAATTCAATTACATTTAAATAAAAAGATAAATAATGTATTATATAATTGAATATTTCTTAAAATTGAATTTTTTTTAAAAGAAATTTATAAAAAATTCTAAAAATAATTGAATTCTTTCGGCGAATTTTAAAAAAAATTATAAAGAATAAATGCAATTTTCTATCAGTTTATGAAAAATTGTACATAAAAAATAATTGAAACTCTGCTATAAATATTGTTATTTATAAAAGAAATTTAATTCTTGCAACGAATTTTATTAAAAAAATTTTTAAAGAATTGAATAATTCCTTGTGAAGAATATTTTATTTGTGAAAATAATTGAATTCCGGAGAAAAATATTATTATTTATGATATTAATTAATTTCTTGTGAAGAATTTTATTCCAAATTTTTTAAATAATTGAATTTCTCAGAACTTTTTATAACATTTTGAAAATAATTAAATTCCATCGACAAAATTTTATTAAAAAATTGAAAATAATTGAAATCTGACGAAGAATTTTATTAAATTTTTTTTTAAATAATTGAATTCTTCTAAAAAGTTTTATTTTTGAAAAAAAATTGAATTCTTAGGAAGAATTTAATTAAAATTTCTTAAATAATTGAATTGAAGAATTTTATTTTTTAAGAAAATAATTCAATTGTTTCGAAGATTTTTACAAACATTTTTGTCAGTAAAATTGTAATTCCTATAAGGAATGTTATATTTTACGAAAATAATTGTATTCTATATTCAATTTTATTATCATTTTTTAAATTTATAAAGCATTTTATCTCAAAATTTTTGAAATAATTGAATTCTCGAGAAAAATTTTATTATTTATGAAAATAATTGATTTCTTACGAAGAATTTTATTCAAATTTTTTTCAAATAATTGAATTCTTAAGAAGAATTGTATTGAAAATAATTGAATTGAATAGGAAAATTTTACTAAAATTGCAATATTATTAACTAAATCTTGTAACGAATTTCGTCAACATTTTTTTAAATAATAGAATTTTTAAAAGAATTTTATTTAAATTTTGCGAAATAATTGAATTTCTCAGAACTATTTTTTTCTATTCTTTGAATATATTTGAATTTTTTCGATAAACTTCATTAAAGAATTAAAAATAATTGAATTAGTGCGAAGAAATTTATAAAAAATTTGAAAGTAATTGAATTCTTTTGAAAAATTTTATTAAAATAGTAGATATTAAAAATAATTGAAATGAGGAAAATTTTTGAAAATAATTGAAATTTTGACGAGAATGTTTATAAATTTTTGAAAATAATTGAATTTCTGTAATCAGTTGTTCTTAAAATTTCTATTTAAATTCATTAAAAATTAAAATGTTTTAAAACTTCATATTGAAGCCTTTGAAGTTTATCTATTTATGCAGATTTTAAACGCAACTCTTTTGAAAATTTTTAAGTAAAATTATTCATTAAATAATTTTTGAGTAATAATTTTATGATAGTTCTTGAAGAATTAAGTTATTTAAAAAGAAATTATTGTCAGAAACAGAAAAAATTGAAAGTTTTGTATTAAAATTCTTGTCAATTTTGTAGTTTGTAAGGCAAACAAAAAAGACACCAAGATTCAGAATTTTCTTATAAATTTTAAAACTTAAATTTTTTCCAGCACTTTTAATAAAAATCCCTGACTTTTCCCTAAATTCCCTGACTTGTGGCAACCCTGATAATATCCGAGGCCTATTGAAAAAATGAAAAAACTAATAAAATGTTTACAAACCTAACAATAGTATTAATTGAAAACCAATAATTAGGAATAGTCAATTCCAAATCGTTTCTTCTTTGTGCACTTATTATTTGATCAGCAGCCTCCTTCGGCTGAACCAACGCCAAAAGATTGGGGAACCTAAAAACGAAGAAAAAAATTTGTATTTAAAAACAAATATTCCATAAAATTAAAAAATATTTCTTATCAAGTGAGATAATTTGCCCACCTTTGATCCAAGATTCTAGTCTGCTTGTAAATAAATGTCATTCATGAATGTTAATGTTTTACTTATTTTTTTTAAAGCACATTATAGATAATCAGTAATCAAGAAAGAACCAAAAAAATGTGTTCCATTTTCATTTCGATTATAAAAGAAAAAAAATACTTTCAAAAAATTCTTCTTGTCACAAATTATTAACAGAAATTCATTATTTCTTATCAATTTTTTTTTTATTTTCATTAAGTTTTTTTTAATATCGGTAAAGTTCACAAAGTTTATGATCGACGATTAAAAGAAAAACAAATTTTTCCTGACAGAAATAATAAAATTTTTTATTCAAAAATATTTCTTTGGAAATTGATAAAAAAATTACGAAATATTTTTTATACAAAAAAAAGGTCGTATAAATTTAAAATTTTAATTTATACGAAATTTTTGAGTAGAACAATATTTTTTCTACTTAATCGTTACTTATAAACGTTATAAACTTTACCAACGATTTTTTTAAATTAAGAATTAAATTCTTCAGAGTAAAAAAACTAAAAAGTGTAGGTAAATTTGAAAAAGAAACTTTAAACTGGAGAAAAAATTTGTTTAGATTGAATAATCACCTCATTCTTGGTTTCTTGCAAAGACCAGTGTCCACCATGTAAGGATAAATGGTTGTGAATTTGATATTTGATATTTTATTGGGACTAGCTTGACGTATTTCCTCACTCAACGACTCCATGATTCCTGAAAATTGAAAATTTGATAAAAATTCGTTACTTATAGAATTTAAATAAAAATTTGTTATTTTACAGAATACACAAATTAGTTAATACACAATTTGAGTTTTAAAGTTTTTGAAAAAAATGAAAAATGAAACTATACGCAAAATTTAATCAGTGATTGATAATTGCCTTATTATATATGGCAAATGTCAGAGTTAATTACAATATCAAAGATAGATGTTTAATTAAAAGTAAATTCAAATATAAAAAGCAAAAAAAAAAAAAAATTGTTTAGTATCAGAAGATTAATAGACGGAAAGGAATCGAGTCTTTTTTTTTACCTCTTACTGCGAATTTCGTTGCGCAATATGGCACAAGATTAGGAAGACCAACTATTCCTGCCATTGATGATAAAGCCACAACGTGACCATGATTTTTTTCTATCATACTCGGCAAAAAGGCTTGCAGCATCTGATAAAAGATTCATTTGAATTTTATTCAAGTTTCTCAACATTTCTCGTCACTTTATATCTTTAAATCAATTATGGTAAAATATACAATCGATTTTCAAAAAAAAAAAAAAATTGTAAATCTTGAATTAAGAAAAAAGAAAACAAAGCTGAAAAAAACAATTTCCATTTGAAATGAAAAAAACTTTTTGTTTTTAGTACTTATTAATTTTAATTTATTAAATTATTTTAATTAAAATTCAATTTTCAATTTAAATTATTTTAAACTAAATTAAAAGAAATTAAATAATTTAAAACTTCAGCACGTTTTTAATTTAATTTTTAAATTTCAGTTTTTATTAATTTCCCCGATATTTTGAACGTTCAAATGAACGAATATTTTTTCTACTTAAAAATATTTTCTATAAAATATTTAGGTTTTTAATATTTAAGAACTTGAATATTTTTTATTTAAAAATTTCTAGAATAATATTAAAAGCAAAATAAATTTAATTTTTAGAGAAAGGAATTTATTTTCTAAATAGACAAGAAAATATTTTCTAACAAAATTCTAATTTTAACGAAATATGAAAAAAATCCTCGTTCATTTTTGAAAGGAAATTATACTGAATTGATTTTACTGAAATACTGATTATACTGAAATTATGTTAAAATGAAATTCTTGAGTCTTGCGACGTAAAATAATTGACAGAAAGCGAAAAAGGAAAATTTACCCAAAAATGAGCCATTAGATTGACATCGACAGTTTTTCTGATTTCTTCCTGAGTATTTGTGAGGAATGAATGACAGGGCATAATTCCTGCATTGTTTATAAGAATTGTCACATTACCAACTTCTTCTTTCACTTTTTCGGCAGTCTTTAAAACTTCATCTCTGTTCGATACGTCGCATCTGTAAATTCGTATAGAGAGAAATTAATTTTAATTATAATTTCTAAATTAAATTTTTAATTTCTTTAATTTTTCTTAAATTATACTGAAAATATACTGGAAATTTTTACAAGAAATTTTTATAACAATACGTACTTGTAAGCGTATGCTCTTGCAGCTCCTTGTTTTTTAATTTCACTTGTTGTTTCTTCATTTCCTTGTTCATTAATGTCCCAACAAACAACAGTTGCTCCTAAACTCGCATATCTCAGTGCCAATTCTCTTCCGATTCCATGACCGGCTCCAGTTACCTGTTTTTACAATAAAATAAAAATTTAAAAATCATAATTTTAAATTAAATTTGAATGAAAATTTACATTGAAAATTATTATTTTTGTAAAAAAATTAACATCCTATTAATTAACGATTTAATGATCAATAATTTCTGAACGTTGAAATGGACATTTTTTACTTGTTTATTTAATTTCTATTTTCCTTCTTTTATTTCCTGTTTTTTCCTTTTTTGTAGTCGATTTTTATTTAAATTATTATTTCGAAAATATTTTTAACGGAAAAATGTGTCATTCGATTGCAATAAAAAACAAATCGAAATTAAAGAGAAGAGAATAGAAATTAATAATTAAAAAATAGAGAATTGAAAATTATTGTTTCTATCACAAAAAATTAAAATATTAATTGACGATTTAATGATCAATAATTTCTGAACTTTCAAATGAACAACTTATTTTACCGATATGAATATTTTTCAAAAATTATTGACTGCAATAAAAAGCAAAAACGAAATTAAATAGGAAAGAAAGTTTATAATTCATTTTTATTGGCACAATATTATTGTAATAAAATTTTAATTCCTGGAAAAGAAATAAATAAACGTTCAAATGAACTATTTTTAAACTTTTACGAGAATTTAACTATCTTCAAAAAGTTTTAATTATAATTTTTCAAAAGACTAATTTTTTTTCATATTTTCTAAATCATATTATTTAAAATTTTAATAATTTTTTTTGTTAAATAAATATTTAAATACTTATTCTTATTTATTTTTCTACAGAAATTAAAATTTTTAATAATTTCATTGTAAAATGTTTTTTTGAAATTTAACTATTTCTAACAATTACAACCGCAATTCTTTACAAATTCAATCATTTTTTGGGGGAATTTTAAAATAAAATCATTTAAAATTTTAATAATTTTTTTTAGGAAAGTAATAAGTTAATAATTTTTTAAAATAAATATTCAAATAATTTTACAGTTTCACATAACAAATTAATATTTTCAAAGATTTCAATTTAAAAATCATTTGAAATTTAATTATTTTTAAGAATTTCTACTAAAACGCTTCTAACAATTAATTATTACCTAAAATTGTGAGTTTGAAAATTAAAATTCATTTTTAAATTATTTTTTTTTTAGAATTTAACTACAAGAATTCAATTATTTAAATACAAAAATAAATAATTGATTATTTCTTAAAACTAAATTTTTGAAAATAATTAAATTTTATCAAAGAATTTTAAGAAAATTTGCATTTTTCGAGAAATTTAGTTAAAATTGTGTTAAAAATAATTGAAATTCTTTAGAAGAATCTTGTTATTTTTGAATTCTTGGGCTGAATTTTATTATTTATGAAAATAATTTAATTCTTATAAACAAATTCCACTAAAAATTTATTAAAACAATTAATTTCTTTCAAATAATTTTCATGAAAATTTGATTTTAAATAATTGAATTTCTATGAAAATTTTATTATTTACGATATTAATTGAATTTTTGCGAAGAATTGTAGTAATAAAGAATTAGTTGATATTGAAAATAATTGAATTTCACCGAAGATTTCGATTATTTTTCAAACAAAAATGGAATTGTTGTAAACAAATTTTATAAAAAAGTTTGAAAATAAATAGAATCGTTTCAAAGAATCGTAAAAAAGTAGTAAATAGTAGAATTTAGTAGATGAGTGCGAAGCCTGCATTAATTTCGATCGAAAGACGTCAATTTTTTTTTAATTTTCAATTTAAGAAAATAGAGTAAAAATTTTAAAAATTGAAAAAGAAATTTTTAAAATAATTTAAAAATTAAAAAAATTTTTTAAAATTAAAAAATAAAAAAATTTATGAAGATAAATGAAAGAAAATTTTCAGAATAGTTGTACGTTTGCATATCGCATATGAATAAAATTATGCAAGTTGAGGTCAATGATATCAGTTACATCCCCTTCATTCTATAATCATTCTATAGATGTTGAATCCATACCAGAACGATTTCTCCTGCGACGCTTTTTTCTTCCACGGGTATGAAGAATCGATAAATACTTTCAAAAAGATAAAAAATTATCTTTATGATTAACATTAAAACATCTGCTACAATTAAAACCCCTCCATATGCATTCACCATGTCTTGTTGTCAGGTTTCACCTGTAAAGAAAAAAAAAATTACTCTTTAAAATTTTTGAGAAATGTGATTAGTTTATTTTTTATAGAAAACATTTATTTTCTTCTACTATAGCAAAGATTTACAGCGAATCGAAAATAAATCTGAACTACTCTCATTGAATGCGAAACGGCGTAATTTTAAATCACACACGGTCAAAAAAAAAAAAAGAAATATAAAAATAGAATCGCAGTTTATATTCATTACAGAAATAACCTTGATTCATGATTTGTTGATAAATTGCGAGTATCTTTCTTTTATTTTTATTACTTTTTTTTAGAAAAGTGTAAAATTTTCTCTCGAAAAAATTGATCAATTTTATTATGGAGATTTTTAATTATTTCCCGTTGGAAGAAAAAGCATTTTTTTAATATTTGAAATATTTTGAATTGAATTTGTCAGTATTCGCTGTTTGGAATTAGGTCTTTGAAAATTGACAAAATAAAAAAAATAGAAATTAGTAAAATTAAATTAGTAGGAGTAATAAAATTAGTTGAATAGTAAAATAGAAATTCAATGAAACTGGAAATTTTGAATTAACAATTTTTTCTTTGTCGTAAATAGTGATTAAATTTTCTCACAATAATGCAGAAGATAAGATAAATTATTATTATCGCATTAATGCTGCCGTTTGTAAGCTAAATTTATGAAAAATTTTTGAAATTACAAAAAAATATAAATCCCACGCATTGGTCGCTAGCACTGTTTGTAATTTTTCTCTAAATACATTTTTTCACTTTACGAATTTTTTTTAATTACAGATTCCTACCAAATTTATCATAATTTTATTCTGAGGGCAACGAACTAAGAAAATTAATTCTTTACAGATTTTTTTTACACAGTAAAAGCAATTTAAAAATGTTAAATTAATTTTCAGAAATTTTTTTTAATTTTACACAAAAAAAGTAAATGAGAATTTTTGTATATAAAAATTGTATAAAAAATCGTTTTTTTTTTTGAAGAAATTTATTTAGAAAAATAACATGCCCTTGATATTCAGATGAATTATTTGCTATATGTGCCCAGACTGAATGATATGACACTGAAAGTGAATGGCATTTAACAAGGCTACTATCTAATGCAATTGATACTTTATTATATTTATATATATGCATAATTTAAATTAATTACTTCAATTCATCTTTTCATTGCACTCTATATATTGTTTGCAACCAGAGAAAATGTTCTATTTAAACCAAATTCAATTTATTTGAAGCAAGCAATTTTTATTTGAGGCAAATTAAATTTATTTGATGCAAATAATTTTTATTTGAAGCAAACAATTTTTATTTGTACCAAATAATTTTTTTTTTGAACCAAATTCAATTTATTTAAAGCAAACAATTTTTATTTGAACCAAATTCAGTTTATTTGAAGCAAACAATTTTTTTTAAGCATATTAAATTTATTTGAAACAAACAATTCTTATTTGGACCAAATAAAATTTATTTTGATAAAAATTAAAAGTTTAGTAGACTCTGAGTCAAATATATTTTTAATTTAACACAATTATAATTATAATATTAAAATTATTGAATTTGATAAATAATTTCCCATTTTTATTTATTATGAAAAATTTTTTATTTTGTAGGCAATTTTAATTTTTATGGTTTTGTTGTTTTCAAAAAATGTTGATTAACAATAATGTTAAGAATAAAAATTCTAGACTAGGCACTGAAAAATAATTTATTTAAAATAAAAAATAATTTGAAATAATAAAAAAAACAATTTAAAATAAACAAATAATTTAAATAAAAAATTTTCTTTGTCTGTTATCAAATAAATATTGACATCATTCAAATAATTTTCATTCAAATTAAATAAATTATATTTGAACCAAAAATTTTAGTATTTGAAGTCAATACCATTTAAACTGACTTAAATAAAAATTATTTTACACAAATTAATATTTATTTTATAATAGACAAGTAATAGTTTATTTGAATACAAAATTAAAAATTAAAAATTTTTTGTTAAGCGCAAAAAGGAAATTATTAGAAATCGTAATTATGTATCAAATTCAATAATTTAAATTACAAGTGAAATAAAAAGTAAAGTAAAAAAAAATAAATAAATAATGCAAAAGAAAATGTAAATGTGCTAAAAAATGTAAAAATTAAATTTAATTACAAATTTTTATTTGGAAAAAATTTTTCTTTTGGAACAAAGAAACATTTTGGACCAAAATAAACTTCTTACTTGCACCAAATATAATTTATTGGTAACAAATAAATTTCTACTAGATTTATTGGACAAATATATATATATATATATATTATATATATATATGTGGTCCTTTGAGTTTTTCCCAAAATTAAAAATAGATTAACTCGCATCTGGAATGTTGCATAACATTAATATCTGCGCTACTATTTCGAGTTGAATTACACATCCCACGCATCCTACTTCTAGTTGTATGCATTATGTGCTTTAGTCTCTAATAATTAAATTATGCCGTGACTTAAACATGTAATTATTCTACTTTTATTGTTTTATTATTTTCCAGTTTTTGTTTTTATGCAACATTTCGTTATTTTTATCCTCATATACTTTGTTATTGTGACCTTATAATATTTATTTTCTATTAAATAAAAACTAAATTTTAATTCTGTTTAAACTGAAACAAAAACTAAATTTCAGTTAAAATTGAAACAAAAACTAAATTTCATTTTAAATTGAAACAAAAATTAAATATTTTTCAAATTTAGTGCAAAAGTGAAAATTCTGGTTGGAATTATTGTTTTCAAATTAAACTTTTATACATAGTTGCATTAATTATTTTTCGCTATAGTTTAACTGGTTAAAGCAACAAATTGTGACAACTTAGTGCTAGTGATAAGATTATTGTGAAAAAAATAAATATTTCTAAAGAATGATAGTAAAGTATTAGTAGAAAATTCGCTAAGTTTATAACTTTTGAATTAATAATTAGAAATTTTGTTTGTCATTTCAAAAAATTGATTTCAATTCTATTTTTAGATTGTTTATGTTAACAATTTAATGAACAAATAGAATATGTCCCATAAATTGTAAAAATAAAAAATCGGAAATAGAAAATATTTTTTCTATTTTTTTTCCCTTTGTAACTTTTTAGAAAAGAATCGAAATATCGAGATTAAATGTAAAAAGAACTTTTGCCGGCAAATTGGCGCGAGACGAACTTGATTTTCAAACGAAAATTCAACAATTTCATTTTTCTTTCAAAAATACTGAATGAAAGGGCAAACAATTTTTTTCCTAATTGTGAAAAAGAATAATAAGAAAATAGAAATTTTCCCACAAATTTGATTCACAATTCATAAAAATTCCTAATAAGATATTAAACAAAAGTTATAATTTCTATAGAAATTGTTCACTCTTCATTCAATGAAAGTGAATGGGGAACAAGTTTCCGAGACGACTTTTACTTGAAACTTGTACCGACTTTTCGATATTCATTTCTTTTTCCCCCTTTTTTTTCATTATAACTATTTTTTTTTTTTGCACTGCAAAAAAAGAAAAATACTTAAATGACGAATTTTGTAATTTTTCAATAAATTAATGAGATAAACTAACCTTTTCACAGTTATGAGGAAAAAATCAAAAATGTTTGCAAAATTTTCTTTGAATGATGCACTATTATTGACTTTTAAATATATCGCTAAATATTAAGATCCTTCGTTGCCCACGATCAAAACGCAACTAAAGTCCCTGTGTCTCTCTCGTTGTATGCGGCAAGAAGTCGATCTTTGTAATTGTATCACTGATACTAACTCATACAAGGATACCTGTTCTTTTGCAGCTATAAATTGATTATAACCACCATAAATGCATATATTCACATCGGATCTTCCAAATGCTAGAAACTTGTCCATTTTTTTATTATCAAATTTCCAAGATGGTAAATAATATCGAAAATAAATTCGATATTTTGATGAAAGATTAAATAACAAAACTTTGTTAAGTTTCCACTTTTTGCAGTGTTTTTCCATTCTTTTTTGCATTTTTTATCGGAAAAAAATTTTACTTTATAGTAAAGTTCATACGAAAATGGAAATTAAGTTCGAAAAATGTCGAGATATGTTTTTTGATAAAAATATTATCAAAAATTGCAACCTGTAACAAAAATCAAAAAAAGTAAAAAATTAAATAGGATTTAGAATTTCATAAAATATATTTTAATACGTATAAAGAAATATTATTAAATTATAGAATCTGAATTTCAAAAATAAATAAATTTCCTTCTTGAGTCTTAGAAACTTTTAAGACAAAAAAATAATTAGTGATTTTACACTAATTACTAATAAATATTTATTGATTATTCTAATTTGTTCCCTTTTTTTAATTTTCTAATTACATAATTAAAATTTTTATTTATGTTTCTTTAATTTCTTTTCGAATATTCAATTATTATAATCGTTTAAGTCACAACTTTTATGATTAACGATTGAAAAGGAAAAAAATGTTTCACTAGGAAAACAGAAGTTTTTTTTACAATTTTTTTTTATTAAATTATTCATCGAGAAAGTACATATAAAGTAATTTAAAATAAAAATGTACGAAAATATTAACAGAAATATTATTTTTTCTTCTAAATTATTGATCATAAACATTGTGAATTTCACCAACACGTAAAAAATCAAAAACAACAATTGAAAGACAAAGAAAATAAACAGTTTCAAAAAATCGAATTTTTTGAATAAAATTTCAACGATGATTAATTTTAATTTTTAAGATTAAAAAATCAGAGACAAAAATTGAAAGTAAAAAAAACCAAAAAAAAGAAAGAAATAAAGTAAATTTAAATAAAATTTCAAAAATAATTGATTATGATTTTTAGAGTAAAAAATGTTTATGATTAACGATTGAAAGAGAAATAAAATATTTTCCACAAGGAAAACAGCGTAATTTTTTGTTTATAAATTTTTCTTGTTTAATTTATTCATCAAGAAAGAATATAAAACAATTTTCAAAGAAAAAATTTATTGAAATTTTAACAGGGGAATTTTTTTTTTTTCTATAAAACGTTTATTATAAACTTGTGAACTTTTTGAACGAAAAAATTCAAATTATGAAAGAAAAATTAAAAAAAATTAAAGACAAAAATTGAAAGTAAAAAATACAGTTTCTTAAAAAAATCGAATTTCACTGAAGTTTTGAACTATTGAAGGAACAAAAAATATTTATTTGTATTACAATATTTTTTTAAATTACTAAAACTGAAAGGAAAAACCTTGTTAAAACATATTTCAATAGATAATGAATTAAAAATTATTTTTGTTAATTATATGGAACAGTATTTTCTAATAAAATTCAAATTAAAAAAAGTAATGAATTTTATTATTTTTTTCTAATAAAATTTTAACCGCACAATTAATTTTAATTTTGAGACTGAAAAAATCAAAGACAAAAATTCAAAACCAACTAAAAAAACACTTTTTAAAAAAATCAGATATTTAAAGTATAAAATTTAAATTAAAATGAAAAAAAAAATTTTTATTGCACTTATTTATGCATTATTGTCCACTTTAATTTTTTATTAAACTGAATAAAAATATTGTACCTTTTTTTGGGAGGGAGAATAAATCAAGGAAATCGTATCCATGAATCTCGTATGAAAAATAAAAGAACCAAATGGTGTTGCTGTTCGCCTTGGCATTTAGCAATTCAAGTCAATTTTTCAAAGGCCTTTGATACACTTCCTTATAACATCCTTCTATATTCATTTTGTGCTTTTTAATATAATTATATCCTTAAAGAATCCTCTCTTCCTCAGATGATATTTAATTCTGAAACTTATCAAATAACAATCTCATATAAATATAGTGTTTTTCATTTTTTTATCTCTATCACAATTGGAAAAAAAAATTGTTACATAATAAAGGAATTGAAAAACAATAATATCCGTTTCAATGAGATTTTTTTATAAATTAATTTATTACTATCTGTTTAATTACATAGAATCAATTAAACTACGTTTTATAACAAAAAAAAGTATTAACTATATTAATACTTTTTTTTAAAGTTTATTAAATTACTTTTTACAACAGAAGGACTTTAATCTAAAATTAGTTAAATTAATTTTTATATACCAAAAAAGTTACATTTAATATTAATAATAAAATGTGAATATATCAATCACTCAGAGTCAAGAAAGTTACAAAAAAATTTAATAATTTCGGATTATTGAATAAAATTTAAACAATAATTGAACCTTAATTAGTTGGTGTTTTTATTTTTTTGTCACCTTTTTAATTTTCTTTTTTGACTGCATTTTTTTTAACTAACAAAATAATACAATAATTATCAATTCAATTTATAAGAAAAAAGTATAAATATACAGATAATAATTTTTGATTATTGGATGACATTATTGAATAAATTGAATTCTTTAGGAAATATATCAAATTAAATAATTAATTAAATTATACTTTTTATAACAAAAAATATTTGTTCAAAGGGAAAGTTTTTGTTTTTAAGTAATTTCTCATATCGCAGAGTGTATAAGCGAATTTTGCATAGACAAGACAAAGAATAATTTAATTTATACATTAAACATTCAAGAGAAAGTTTTTATAGACAAATCTTCCAACATGTTTGAAAAATACTTCAATAAATTCAATATTATGTAATAATAAATTTTTGTTTCAAACAATTTTATTTTTTATCAATTTTCTATTTTGAGAAAAAAAATTATATATCACGAGGGAATTAATAATTGTTAATTAAGCAATAAATAATAAGTTGCATTTTTTTATTGAATAAAAAAATGAAATTGATTATTAATTAAAAAATGCTGCTAATTTTAAAAGAAAATTGAAAAAGAGACAAAAAAAATGAAGATATCAACTAATTAAGATTTCTAATGTAAAAACAAGTTTTTTTATTTAAACCAAATGTAAATTTTCTGCTAATAAATTATTCTTTTAAACGTATATAGTTAAAAAAGAAATTTTTCTTATTCTGAAATACCATTTTTTTACACTCTTTAGGAAATATTATATTGAATTAAATTAAACAATTTCCTGCAGAAAAAAATTAATTTTTTGCTGATTATTTCAATTTGATTATTATATTTATTATGTAACTTTAAGTGACAAACAATCGTTGAATTCTGTACATTTACATTATTTACACAAAATGTGTAATTTATATTCACTCAACTTTTGTTTATTATATTTTTTCTTCAAATTTGATAAATAAACAATTATTCGTCTTAGTCATTTTTATAAATAAATTCTTGCGTATTTACTATTTTTGAAATTATTTTAACGTATTTATATTTTTGTTTATTTTTACGTTCTAATTTTTTACTTATTTTTACGTTTTTGTATTTTTATTTATTTTTAACGTTATTTTTTATTTATTCTTATATTTACTTTCAGGTACTTATTTTTTAATTTATTATTACGTATTTCTTGTAATTTTAAAAATGAAATGAAATTTTAAAAATAAAAATGAAAAAGAATTTGACTAACGAAATTGGTAATAAAATAATTGTAATTTCGATTTTATAATGATAATTGAGGACTATACACATTATAATAATCGTAAGTTTCCTTTCCGTTAGCAAATTATCTGCATTCATTTGTTTGTTTTAAAAATTAAATTTTGTGGGTTATTTTTATTTTTTTTAATGTCAAAAAAAAACGAAAAAAAAACTCGTTTTATTCATTTCACAAAATTGACAAACTTTCCATTACATATTTTTTATTTTCCTGACTTTTTCCTAATTTTCATCAAAAATATTTACTTTTTTCTTATCCTGATAATAAATTGCATTTCTGCTACGAATTTTATTATTCATGAAATTTAAAATAATTTAATTCTTGCGAAGAATTTTATAAAAATTTTTAAATAAGTCATTTCTTTTAAATAATTTTATGCAAATTCTAATTTAAATAATTGAATTGATGAAAATTTTTATTATTCATGAAAAGAATTGGATTTTTACAAACCATTTTTTAAATAATTGAATTCTATTTGGAAATTTTATGAAAATAGTAGATATTGAAAATCATTGAATTGCGAAAAGTTTTTAAAGATAATTAAATTTTACAAAGAATTCTATTAAAAAATTTGTCAATAATTAAATGTCTGTGGAAAATTTTATTAAATTTTTTTAACTTAGAATGTTTTCAGAACCTTAAAAATTTTCAATGTTTTCAGGACAAATTTATTTGATTAAATTTTGTTGAAAATAATTAAATTCCTAAAAAACATTTTATTATTTATGAAAATAATTGAATTCTTGCAAACGATTTACTAGAATTTTTTAAAATAATGGAATTTTCAAGAAGAAATTTATTATTTTTAAAAATAATTGAATTATTGTGATGAATAGTATTGTTCTTTATGAAAATAATTGAATTTTGAAAAAAATTTTATTAAAATACCTCAAAATAATTGAATTTTTGGGAGTAATTTTTTTTATTAATCTTTAATAATTGAAATCTTTCGAAAAATTATTTGTGTAAATAATTGAATTCTTAGAAAAAATGTTATTAAAATTTTAAAAAATTGAATTATTTTCAAAAATTTAATTAAAATTGTATTTAAAACAATTAATTTCATTCAAACAATTTTATTAAATTTTTGAAAATAATTATTCAATTCTTCCATAGAATTTAAAAAAACACATTTTTTTAAATAATTTATTTTTGTCGAGGAATTAAAATTAAGTTTTTAAGAATAATTAAATTTTTGAGCAATTCAATTGTATTAAAAATAAT